CCTTTTTTCCTATTTCAAATTATCAATTATTCATTTTAATCATTTTCATCCTTATTTACACTATCAGTTTCTCACACTAGAGAAACTATTCAGTATTTACACATGTGTGTCCTATTTATTTCACTTAAGAGTATGGCCTCGATATGCATCCATTTAGCTATAAATGTCTCTAGTTTTTCATTCTTTATGGGTGAGTAGTACTCCATTTTATAAAAAAACCGAGTGTAGGGTATTTTGTCTCAGCAATGAGAAAAGTAGGGCCAGGGATTTAGCTCGGTTCCGATGCCTGCCTTGCAAGTGGAAGGTCTCGAGTTCTATCCCTGGTACAAAAAAAAAGACAAAAGTAAGACGCCATACGTGATACATTGTAGGGAATGTGGACAATACTGTCTTAATACAAATGTTGAATTTTAGTTTGGCAGACAGTTAAATTGTTGGCAGATCCACTTGATTTTCATAGAGTTTATTTTAGGTTTTATTAGAGTAGGTTTGTGTTCACTTTGTCCTTAGGTGCAGGGGGTGCCCTTACTCAAGGGGAGGGGCCTTACTCCTAACACATGACTGTTCTGGAATTTTAGCTGAACCCCTGCTGTGCTTAGGGTGGGATCTCCGCTCTGCCTGAGCCATCACTGCATAATTCTGCTATGTCCTCCTAGGTCTCTGTCCCTTACCTCATTGCATCTGCCCACCTCCCTGCAGCTGCTTTCTGCCAAGCCTCACAGTCTCATTCTGAACATGTGGAGCCCAGCCATAAGCCAAGCCCCCAAGGAAAAGCCTCCCACGGACATCCAGGACACTCTCCTGGGATGCTTCTGTCCCTGCACACCCTGCTCCCTGACTTATGTCCACCTCCCTGTGCCATGGTCTGGAAAGTGTCCAGGCAGATATCCAGGGGGAATGTGGAGTTCACCTCAGTTTCCCTGTTCTCAGAGATCACAGCTCCTTGCTGTGGTCCAAACCTGGAGACACTTGTCTCACATATTTTCTCCAATTTTAGTTGTTTGCTCTGGGAAGGTAAATCTGATATGATCCATCATGACTGAAAACAGAAACCTAATCAGTGTTCGCTTTTTGTTAATCGCGGTCTACTTTACATAGAACAAAATGCTTAGAAATTCAAGGTTCAGTTCAGTGAGTTTTGATAATAGTGTGTGCCCTTGTACCCACCACCCCGCTACTGCTTTCTGTTATAACACTGTTAGTGCTGCCTGTTCTAGAGCCTGTGTAAATGGAATCATGCCATACAAACTCTTTTTACATCTGGTATTTTTGCTCAGCATAATATTTTTACATGTGTTTTGTTTTTTTATTTTTCTGGTACTGGGGCTCGAACTCAGGTCCTTGCACTTGCAAGGTGGGCAGCAGAACCACTGAGCTAAATCCCCGGCCCCCTTAGCATAATACTCTTGAACTGTGTCCCTGTTGTTGCACATATCAGTGGTTCATTCTTTTTAAAATGTAAAATAGTATTCCATTATTATAAATGTGCAGCATTTCTATGCTTCTGTTGATTGCTTGGATGGTTTCCAGTTTGGGGCTCTTGAGAATAAAGTTATTATAGGGGCCAAGGATTTAGCTCAGTGGTTCTGCCATGTGCCTGAAAAGCGCAAGGTCCTGAATTTGATCCCGGTACCAAAAAAAAAAAAAAATCCTATGGTTCCTGTCTATAAAAGGTGCACTTAGAAGTCTGAGAGAATAAAGCTATTATGAATCTTATTGTGCAAGTTTTTTGTACAAGTCCTTCACATATCCAGGAGGGAGGTTCATATGTGTTTTAACTTTATGAGCGTCTGCCAAGCAGTTCTCTGGAGTGGTTATACCATCTTACACATCCACCAACAATGTATGAGCTTTCCTGTTCCTCCATATCTTCACCCACATTTGGTGCTGTTGGTCTTTGTGGAATGAGAGGTGATTGGGTGTTTTGCATTTTGCATGGAATCATTTGCACTGCTTGGATTGATGTCAAGCACCTTTTCTTGTGCTTATTGACCATTTACATAGCTTCTTTTGTCAAGCCGCCTAGTTGTTTGTCTATTTTAAAAAATGAAGTTATTAGTTTTATTGTCAGTTTGTAGAAGTTCACTGTGTATTCTGGAAATAACTCCTTTGTCAGGTACATGTACTGAAGATAAATTTTCCCAGTCTATGACTTGCCTACTGAGTTTTTTCTGTTGGATTTTCTCTAAGTTTTTTTTCATTGACTTCTACTATTTTTATTATGGCCTTTCTTCTATATACTTTTTTTATGTACGGGGGATTGAATCCAGGTCACATTACATGACCTCACCAGACCTTTTAAATTATTTTTTTATTTTGTTACAGGGTCTTGCTAAGTTGCCAAGCTGGGCTTGAAATTGTGATTCTCCTGCTTCAGCCTCCCAGAATAATGAAATTAAAGTTGTGCACCACCCCCTTTGGCACTTGTACTTACTTTGAGTTTAATTTGGTCTGCTTTTTCTAGAGTCTGAAAAAGCTTAGATCACAAATCTGTGTCACTGATTTTACACTTGTCTTCTTTTCTAATATAGGAGTTTTAAGCTACTTAGTTCCCTGTAAGCACAGCTTTATCCCCAAATTTTGATATGCTGTTTTCTTTATCATTCGATTCAAAATTCACCTTGCAATTTTTCTTCCCTAACCTATGAATTAATTATAAATGTATTGTTTAATCTCCAGATGTTTGAGATTTCTAAGCATCATGTTGTTTTTACCTTTAACTTGTTACATTGTGTTAAGAGTCAGTTTTATGTCCCAGTATATCTTAGTAACCAAAGAATGTTCACTTGAAAAAAAAAGTGTATGCTATAGTTGTTGTGGAATATTCTAGAAATGTTAATTAGGTCAAATTGGTTGATAGTGATATCTCAATCTTTTATGTCTTATGCCATTTACTGAAAAATTTCAAGTACAATTCTGGTTTATCTGTTTGTCCTTTAGTTCTGAATTTTTTTTGCTTCAGGTATTTTAATGTTCTGTTACTAGGTAATATATATTTCAGATTATTCAGTCTTCTGGATGAAGCAATCTTTGTGTCATTATGAAATTTCCAAGCCGAGCATGGTGGTGCATGCCTGTAATCCCAGCACTTGGGGGTCTGAGGCAGGAGAATCAAGCTCTAGGCTACATAGTAAGTTCAAGGTCAGTCAGAACTATGTAGCAAGACCCTGTCTCAAAAAACCAAAAGAAAGAAAGAAACAAACAAATGTCCAACTTTCTTATCCTTTCCCCACTCTTTTACTCTAAAATCAGTTTGTGTCTTTATATTAAGGGTATCCTTTTTATAAGTAGCATAACTTGGGAGTTTTTTCCATCTAGTCTGAAAAGTTTGCCTCTTAATTCAAAGGAAATGTACATTTATTTATGTATTATTTATCAGCCACTACTGGTAATTGATAGTCCTCCAACTGAGAAACATCTCCTGCCCTTTTTAATTTTTTGATGCCCAGGCTGGCCTTCAACTACCAATCTTCCTACCTCAGCTTTGCTATGAGCAGCTGGGATTACAGGCACATGCCACAACACCTGGCAGGAAACATCTCCTCTTTAGTGTCTATCCATGTTGCTGTGTGCACATCTGATCCACAGTGTGGTTCTCCTTGGTGTGCATCCTGCTGTGATAGACTACGGGCTTTTCTAGAATCCCTCCCACTAAAACCTCATTGCTCTGAGCATTCCTTTACAGATCCCCTTAATTGGGCAAGAATCTCTGTGGGATATCTGCCCAGGGTGGAGCTGCTGGCTTACAGGGTTTACCTGTACTGTGTTTGACTAAGGATCACAGGTGTTAATCGTATGCCCATATGATCATGAGAATGATCCAGAGAGGAGGGAAAAGGAGCCCCACACAGAGTAGGTGAGCATGGCTGCCTCTGCCTGGGACAAGGATAGCTCATCACAGAAGAGGAGGGAAAACATGTCAGGCCACATGTGGGAAGGGGGCAGGTGTGCAGGGAGGGGCTGGGGAAGTTTCCCTCTGCTTAGCGAGGTAGGAAGCTACTGAGGTAAAGATGGCCAAAAAGGTACAGGAAGCCGGAAGGAAGAGGGATAGGAGGTAGTCCTCTTGGAGACCCGGTGTGCATGGACCAGGGAGACATGCTTTGGGCAGGATACTTCTACGTCCTGGTGTAGAGCAGCTCTGCAAGGACCTGAGTCTGGCACTGCAGGGCATTACCGGCACATGGAACAGTGCAGGACTGTGCCAAAGAGCACCAGCTGCAGGGGCAAGGTGGCAGCACCCACGGGCTGTGTGCTAATGATAAACTCGGTGCATGGGGCGGAAGGAAGACCAGATGGCGGAGGCAGGGCAGGGTGTGTGGACCCCGTGTCAGTGGGAAGGAGATGTAGTGTGGGCACCTGATACCTTTTGTCCACAGTTTCATTTTGTTGTAAAAGTGATGCCTACCGTGCCAAAGGAATTTTGCTCTTCAATGCCTCAGGAAGCTGTAGAAAAATCACAAATAGAAAAATAGAGACGTAAAGCCCTCCCGACCCCAAGAGAAGCCATGGCTCATGTTTTGGTGTGTGGTAGTTCCTGTCCTCTGGCCTTGGAGGTCTGACCTCCTGCCGAGTGGGAAGAACACCCCTGGGCCAGATGTGGCTGAACAGTAGCACATCAGGCTGCGATGGGCCAAGAGGGGCGCCCAGCCCATTCCTGGGGACCCCAAGAGGGCTGCATGGAGGAAATGGTCTAAGCATGCGGTTTTGCAGGTTGAGGGTCCCTCGTGCCCCTCACTCGAGGACAAAGCCAGCCCCATTCACCCACTGTGTGGCTGAGGAGGTGGGCACAGTCAGCATGAGGCAAGTGGGGAAGCAGAAGGCCACAAGCACACTTCCTGAGCATGCACATGGTCACAGCCCCTTCATTTGTGCAGTGCACAGCCTGTGTCACTATATATGCTAGTCATGCAAAGAGATTTACCCTTCATCGCCTATTCCAGCCCACACCCTGCACCTGCTCACACCACATGTCTCCTTCCTGGGTCTGTGTCCCCCTCCAGACAGCAGTGACAGTGAGCTGGAGCTGTCCACGGTGCGCCACCAGCCAGAGGGGCTAGACCAGCTGCAGACACAGACCAAGTTTACCAAGAAGGAGCTGCAGTCCCTCTACCGGGGCTTCAAGAATGTGAGTGCCCCCACACCTGGGAGAGACTCTGTGTCCCTGACTCCACACAAGAGGGACCCCGGCCCAGGGAGCCTTCTAGAACTTCTCCAGAGCTCAGTGAATACCGAAGGAGGAGCTATCCAGGAAGCAGGCACTGTGAGGCTCACGGTGTTCCTTCTCTGAGTCTCCAAGGCAGTGCCAGGGGAGGAGCTTGGCACGGGGGTGGGAGTACCAGCCACTGTCTTCCCAGCCACCCTTCTGCCCAGTGTCCCTGAGGCCTGGAGCAGGGGGTGGCTGAGTCTCTGATGGGTGACTTCCACTTCAGGAGTGTCCTACAGGCCTGGTGGATGAAGACACCTTCAAACTCATCTACTCGCAGTTCTTCCCTCAGGGAGGTGAGTCCAGCCAAGACCTTGCCCAGACTTCTAGGCTGCCCCACAGGGAGGGGATCCCACCAGCCCCTTCCTTCTGGAGACCCAGTGCTGCCTCCTTTCCACTGGAAGGGAGACTCCTGCCCAGGAGCTGGAACCCTGGGGTGGGGGTGCGAGCTGCCCCAGGAGGGCCCCAGGCTTCCATGCGGCCCTCCCAACCAACCCAGCCTCGTCCTTGCTGTCCCCAGATGCCACCACCTATGCACACTTCCTCTTCAATGCCTTCGACGCCGATGGGAATGGGGCTATCCACTTCGAGGTGCGTCTATGAGGGTCCCTGCACTTGCAGGGAAGCCCAAGGGGGATTGGGTCCTGCTCCAGACACCTGTTCTCAGCCTCTCCTTGAATTCTAGGAGTTCACATCCAGCCCTGCAAGCCAGGGGGGCTGCGGATTCACAGAACTAGCAGTGACCCTCATGTGGTTTGTATTGTTAAAGGGTCAAGGTATAACTCAGAGGTCTGGCTTGCTAAGGGTGGGTTTACTCCTTACTGAGCAAATAGAACCAACCAGAAATATCCAGAAAACGCTTAGCCTGAGTTGTACTCAGCTTTTCATGGTTACCCCAGCCAGAGACAGGGTGAAGCCCAAGGCTCCCCAGTGCTCCTTGGTGCCAGTTCGAGGAGGAGCAGCTACCCTGCCCCCTACAGCCTCCTGTCTGGGCTCCTCCCCACCTGGCCACATGGGATCATTTGAGCGAGGCCCCATCTGTGGAGCCCACGCCACTAAAAATAGCTGCAGGGGCAAAGCTGAAACCTCCTCAGGAAAACCTTGCAGAGAGGCGATCGATCGATCTCTGGCCCACTCGGCTTCCAGGGCCAAGGGCACCCGCCAACAGGAAAGTGGCCGAGGAGGCCCTGGACTCTGGGTAATAATAACCTGTCGATAACACCAGCCAGGTTATTTTTACTCTGCGCGCCCACCACACGCTGACACTGGACACATGCGCAGCCGGAGCCCCGGCCTCCTGGTGACCATAGGGCCCCTCCCGCCCCAGATGGGCCACTGCCTATGGAACACACATTCTCAGCACATCCAAATGCCAGTGCAGAGGAGTAGAGGGGCCAAAGCATGGTCTCCCCAACCCTCCTGGTGACCAGATTCTGCTGGTCACTTTGCTCAGGGTCAAGGTGGGAGTTGGGATCCAGCGAGATGAGCCCAATCAGTTTTTCTTGTCCAGCATGTCAGGGGCTTTGGAAGGTACCAGTCCTTGTCACCTGTCACTCCCGCAGCAGGGGTTCCAGAGGCCCTTGAAGGCAATAGGTGAGGGACCAGTCAGTGGCTAAGATAGGTGCTGTGCTGAACTCGCGCTGGGCAGTCTCAGAGAGGCCCTGCCCTGGGTGCCACCCCAAGCCTTCTGCTCAGGAGATGAATTCCTCTGGTTGCCTACGAGTCCCTCAAGGGACTCCCTGACTTCAGTGCTGTGCTCTGAGAGGCCTTTCTCAGGGAGGAAGGGAGTGTGTATCCCCATGACCTGTCCCTGCCGCACCACAGGTTGGGATCCCAGTGGCTAAGAAGGTCCCTTGGCCCTCATTGCCGGCCATAGGACTTCCCCTGCCCTTAAACAGGAGGTCAAGGCTGCTTAACAGTGCCTACAGCGACCAGCAGTTTCTGTCAATGCCTAGAGACCATCCGTGTACCTGTTACAGTCTACTGGTACAATAAAATGTTATCTCTTTCTCCCCTCACCAAAATGAGAACCAAAAAGGAGGGAGAGAGGGAAAGGAAAAGGAAAAGAGAAGAAAAGGAGCTGAGTGGGAGATGTGGTCCCATGTGCCACCTCAGGGTTGGCCACTGCAGCCTCCACTCCTCTCTGAGAGTGTCACCCAGCACCTGCCTAATTCAGTTAGCTCATCTTGCTAGAGAGACACAAAACCCTCAAAACAATGACCTGTTGGTGGCTTCTCAGAACCCAGGAGAAAGTCAGGTCGCCAGGGTGGAAGTGGCATTGGCAGAGCTGCTCATTTGGAAACCGATGGCAGCGTGAGTCAGGAGGGGGTGGCTGCCTCTCCGTCACTGCCCCCACAGTACACTGCTCAGCATCTATGGCACAGCCAGGCATCCCTGGCTACGGTGTGAGTGACACTACCTGGGGCAGGCCACAGCCCAGAACCTCCCAGGGCTCCCACCGGCTCTCGGCTCTGCCAGGGACCCTCATGTGCACGCTGAGGGTCTCAGCCTGGAACATCTGCTCTGCTGTGTCACTACAGGAGCCTCACACCCTCCCTAGCACTGCTTTGGGGGCAGCTGCAAAGCAAGGGCTGTAGATAAAACAGGCCTGGGGTTACAACTGCAGGTGGTCGCATGTGAAACTGCTATGTCCCAGAAATTTTAGAACCAATGTGCACTTGATTTGAGTCAGCTGCTCTTGGGGTAACATCTGTGTGTCACAACCTGGGGCCTTGCAGGGGATGGTCCCATGCACTGTCTCCTAGTACTGTCCTTTCTGTAACACACACTTGCTAAGGGACACTGGGTGGGGACCTTCCTCAGATGTCAGCAGGCTGTGTGCTGAGCAGGAGGCTTCAAGGCTTCAAGGAAGACCAGACCAGAGGGGTGTGGCACTGGCATCCTCCTGGATCCGTGAGAAGGATGGGTGCCAAGCAAGACCCCACGCTGGGCCTCCCACTGGCAAATCCTGTTGCACCCCAGGTTCCTTGCTTGTGTAACCCACAGCTATCCACAGTGCTGATCATTCCCCAAACTCAGCTGTACAAGTGGCGTCGCAGTCTTTCTCCCCTGCCATGTCCTCATCTTCACTCACACACACAGGGCTTGAGGTCCAGCAAATCTGCAGGGTGTGCTTTGGAGACCTACAGGTAGCCGCCATGTCTTGTTTAGCCAGACGTTGGTGTCTGCTTCTGTGACTCCCAGGGCCATGATTTTATGGCTCTTCTCAACGTCCAATTTAGACAGTGTGTCTTTGTCCCCTGCTCTAGGTGAGAAGCTGGGCCTCCTCTAAACACATGCTTTCCATCCCCCACTTTCCAACAGCCACTTGGGTAAAGGACTCAGTTTACCCTGACAATGTGTATCTGCTACCCAGCAGAGTCTTGCGGTCACCTGCCACCACGCTTTCCTCTCCTGCACACCTTTGTATTTTGCTGCTGTCAACAACAGTCATGATCCTTCCTTTGCCTAGTTGTCTGTGACCTTGTCATTCATTGAACCCCTGGCCTGGAGGTCCTTCTCCAGCCTAACTTCTTCTGCGGCATCCCATGGAGGATGTGGCCCTGGCCTCCCACAGCTTCATGGGGCTGTGCATCCTCTGGCTCTTTCTTTCTCCTCTGGGTTACATCCCCTAGTTGGGGGCTCCTTATCAGCTCCCACTTTCTGGATTTACTTTCTCTTCAGGGGCACATCCTCCAGCAGTCTCCTCCAAAAATATATACAGGACATGTATCCATTAGCTTTCTGTTGCTGGGACAAAATACCTGACATACACAACTTGAAGGAGAAATGGTTTATTGAGGCACATGGTTTCAGAGGGTTTCCTCCATGGTCATCTGGCTCCAAGGCAGAAACATCATGGCGGATTGGTGTGGTAGAGGAAAGCTGCTCACATCATGGAAGCCAGGAGAGGGAAGAAACTTGAGAAGAGATTCATATACCTTTCAAAGGCACACCCTTGATTACCTACTTTCTCCAACCAGGCCCCACCCCCTAGCAGCACAGTCAACTGTGAATTCATCAATGGTTTAATCCTGATGAGTATGGCGCCCCAATGATTCAGTCTTCTGAAAGCCCCACCTCTGAACACAAGAGCCTTTCAAAGGACATTTTTGATCCAAACCATAAAAGAGGTGACCTTTGACCCTGTGGGTATCTGGGAGTGTCTTTACTTAATTGTCACTCTCACCAGTCATTTTGCCTGGACCAGAACTCCTGAGAAGATCCCCTGGGCCTGAGGCTTCCCCTGTCAGCCTCCTGCTGCCTTCCTGCCTCCAGGGTGCTGTGGAAAAGCCACCTCCAGCTGATTTGAGTCCTGTGGGTGGATCTGATTTGGGTTCTTGCTATTTGGCTTTGCTTTTCTCTCTGAAGCTTATAGGGTCTTCTCTTGGCTGGAAGCTGTGAAACCCCATCATGCCTAAGGCCCAACTGCACTGATTTCAGGCCTTGTCCCAGCCCTGGGGACCCTGGGAACTGGAAACTTTCCATTCTGGGAAATTTTCTTTCACGATTTCTTTGGCACACTGTTCTCCATTTTCTCTGGTTCTTCCTGGATCTCCTGACGTCCTAGCATTGACTCTCAGCGTGGCATTCTGTATCCTCTTTTCTAGTTTCCAGCACTTTTCTTTGCCTTCTCATTGCACCTTACAGAAAGTTCTGGTTGCTCTTCCAACCCTTCTTCTAAGTCTGTCATCTTGTGTTGTTTTCAATTCCCAAGAGCTCTTGTTTTCCACACATTCTTCTGTGTGTGTGCACATCGGTGCAAGCACATACATGTGCTACTGGGGTTGAACCCAAGGACTTTGCACTGAACTATATCCCCAGACCTTTGTTTATTTATTTGTCTGTTTAATTTTTTGGACCTTTTGTTTGTTTGTTTTTTGTTTTTTGAGGCAGGGTCTCCCTTTGTAATTCAAGTTGGCCCTGAACTCACTATGTAGCCCAGGCTGGCCTCAAACTCTGGGTGATCCTCCTGCCTCAGCCTCGCAAGTGCTGGGATTACAGGCATGCGCCACCACGCCTGGCTTGTTTAATTTTGTTTTTGGAGACAAGATCTCACTAAGTCAATAATATGCCCAGGCTGGGCTGGAATTTGGGGTTTTCTTGCCTCCGCCCCCAGAATGCTGAGATTATGGGCATATGTCACCACACCTAGCTTCATTCCTCTTTTAAAAGAGTATCCTATTCTTACTTTAAGGATGCAAGATTTCTAATCTCTGAATCTAAATGGTATTTTTCTCCTAGAATAATTCTTGTTTCTCCCTAATTGCTTTTACCTCTCATGGTTTGGAACACGGCTGTCTCGTCTTGTTAGTGATACATTGCATGACAGTCACATCCCATGGCGATGGCAACCCACAGGGATGGCTCAGGAGTTGAGCACCATTCATTTAGTTTGTTAAACTGAAAGTTTTCAAGCACCTTCTGAGATAGGGGGAGTAGGTGTAATTCCGAAAGCTGCTAGATATCCGAAGTTTGAGTTCGTGTTCTCTAAAATCAAAGAATGAATTCTAGGAACAATAGAGGTTAAGAGTAGGAAAAATTTGTTGAGAGAAAGATAGCTTCTCCTCCCTAAGAGAGACAGAAGGGGGACTGGAAAGTGGGTTGCCCACTGCCCCTGCTTCTCAAACGTGTTTTATGGGACAAAGCCATGAGGTGAGGAGGGTTAAAGGTGGGGCAAAACTATAGTGGACTAGTAAGATTGCAAGTACAGTTGCTTAGGTAATACTGATCCAATGAGAAATTACAAAGTGGACAAAGCTATGATCAACCAATAAGATCACAAAGGAATAGTCACTTAGGTAATATTGATTAAATGGGGATCCAGTGGGGAAGCAAGTCAAGTAGGAAGCAAGCATACAAGGAACTAAGCAAGGATTTTCAGTAAGGGGTGGGTCAGGGATCTTTCCTGGAGATCTTGGTCCTCCACCCAGGTGATTGATACCTATTTAGACTATCAATCACTGCCATTTATCCTATGAGGGGTATAATAGTTTCTCTCCTTTTACAGTGCTGGCCTTCAGTAGATTGTCCTCCATGTTGGCTTCTCGAGGGCTGGCCCTGTCTAACTGCCTATGAGATATCTAATTAACTTACCTATTCTACAATACTTTGACCTGCAGATGCTTGAAGAACTAAAAGTAGAGCTCCTCCTCTATCATAAGATCACTTGAGACTTATCTGTCAATAGCAGTGCATTGCATAATGGATTATTTTTGTCCAAGATCAGTACCATGCAGTTCCCCACCACACACATGCATGCACTCACCTGTGTCCCCTGTAAAGGACACCCCCTACTACCCCCCTGGGGAACCACACTGCCTGCAGAGCTGGGAATCTCAGTGTAAGCCACACAGCGAAGGGGAAACAGAAGGAGGTTGGGCTGGCTCCTCACTCCTCGCCTCCCTTTCCCCTGCAGGACTTTGTGGTCGGGCTGTCCATCCTGCTGCGAGGAACAGTCCATGAGAAGCTCAAATGGGCTTTCAATCTCTACGACATTAACAAGGACGGCTACATCACCAAAGAGGTACCGGGTGTTAGGCAGTGGCCCATCTGCCCCTGCTCCCCTCCAGCTGCTCCTTGCCTGATCTCTCTTCCTGTTTCCTGTCTCCATCCTGGTGGCTCTCAACCTGGCCTTGGGGTGCAGCAGCCTGTGGGCTCCTCTCCCTGGCACTCCATCCTGGCCAGCAGGCTTGTCCATCCACCCCAGCAATGAAGGGGGCCTGGGGGAGCCAGATGGAGAAGGGGGATGGCTGGAATGGGCCAGTGTGGTCCTTTAAGGCAGGGGTGCAGACAGGCCCTCACCACAGGGACCCACAGATGGATTTTTGTTTGGCCCATGCTTTTTTTCTTTCTCTTTTTGGTATCTGAAATAGTTGCTACCTGCTCAAGTTTTGGAGATGGACACTTTGTTCTCTGGACCAGAGGGAACAAGCCCGTCTCTCTGGCGCACAAGGCCCCTCTTGCTTGCCCACTACTGCCCTGGGGGTGTCCCTGACCTTTGAGGCAGCCCCCTCCACTGGGGCCCCCAAAGCCACCGCCGGCTGAGTCCCTGCAGCCAGCTCACACCGGCCCTCCTGTCCCCCTCCCAGGAGATGCTGGCCATCATGAAATCCATCTACGACATGATGGGCCACCACACCTACCCCATTCTTCGGGAGGACGAGCCCCTGGAGCATGTGGAGAGGTTCTTCCAGGTGCACAATCCCCGCCCCGGAGCTGAGGTGCCCCTTGCTCCTGGGGCAAACCTGCTCCCTACAAGGAGACCCAGCATGGTTCCTGGCTGAATCCCCTGGGGCAAGTTTAAAGCCAGGCCCCCCCACCAGATTTTATCCACCTTCAGGTTCTGGGAATCTGAGGCAGCTGGCCGGGCCAGAGCCTTGGGGGTCCATTTCCAACTTCCCAAGGAATTAGGCTGCAAGACAGTGGCCTTGGGGCCCTGTCCCAAGGTTGGGGACAGAGGGACACATGGTAGGGGCAGAGGATGGGAACAGAGGGACACAGGGTGTGGAAAGGGCCCCATCCACTGAGCATTCTCCCATTGGTGTCTGGAACTCTTAGTCACTTTCTTGTCACTGAGAACCCACAACTTAAAGGAGAAGTTTATTTAGCTCAGTTTGTAGAGGTTTCAGTCCACAGTCAGCAGGCCCCAAGGCAGGCAGCATGGTGGAGGAGAGCTGCCTCACACTTGGCAGCTGGGAAGCAGAGAGAGAAGGGAGGAGCCAGGGAGGGGCTGAACCCTACCTCCTAGCAAGTCAGCTGTAATCACCCCCAATTCACTCACCTTCCAACACCCTACCTATGAGCACATGAGGCACTCAGGGGACATCTAGATAGAAATCATAATAGGGATTATCCCTTATGGGGACACTCTCACCTTGGGTTTGGCTTGGGTCACAGAAAATGGACCGGAACCAGGATGGGGTGGTGACCATTGAGGAGTTCCTGGAGACCTGTCAGAAGGTAGGTGGCACCAGAGGGCTGGACATGGGCCCTCCTGGGGCTGTGGGACAAGATGGTGGCCCATGGAGAGGCAGACAGGGACTAGCTGGAGGTGACCAGCCTCAGACCAGCTACTCCCTGTCTCTGCTCCTCCGCGCCCCCACCCACCCACTGAGAGGAACCTGCTGGGGTGGGGGGATTGGAAGTACCCACCCCTGCCCTCCTCTGCCCACCCTGACTAGTCCTCTTCTCTCTCCACACAGGATGAGAACATCATGAACTCCATGCAACTGTTTGAGAACGTCATCTAGGACGTGCAGAGGAGGCGCAGGGTGGCCATTGCCGCTCCACCCCTGAGAAACTGAAACTTTTCTCTGATATATTTGAAAAAAGTGAGCAGTTCACTCTTGATACACACACACACACACACACACACACACACACACACACACACACACACAGAGCTCCTCAACAGCCGGCCCCAAGCCTGCAGGGCAAGGAAGCTGCCTCTGAGGTGGGCAGACCATCTGGCAGTCAGTAGATGTCACCAGGAAGGGGCTTAAGAGCCTGAAAGAGCATCTCCAACACACAGGACTCTCCCCCTCCTTTCCCACCAAATGGGGACCCCAGGGCTCCTCTGGCCTCCTCCCCTGCCATGCTCTGCCCAAGGACCTGTGTCCCCAGAGAGGCCCTTCCTGTAGGGCCCTGGGGCAGCCAGGGCTCAGGGGGTTCAGACTAGAACAGAGGTGGTCACAGGCCCAAGCCTGCTGCCTCCTGGGAACCCAGTACCCGAGGCCGGGGATACTGAGCTGGGCAAGCTGGACCAGTGCCTGGCCACCCACTGCCAGGCCAGTTTGGGTGGTGAGGGCCCCTGGATGCCATCCTCTTCCATCCCAGGTTCTGGCTTGGTGGAAATGCAGGAAAGGCACTGCAGCCCCCAGTGCCAGGCTGTTCTCTCCAAGATCCACTCAGTCCTGGGAGGAAGTGACATGGCTCAGGGACAGGAAGCCTGGGAGCCAGGGTCAAGGGTTCCTGTCCCTTTCCCACCCCCCATCTCCCTGGAGCTCCATGGGGCCCTCCCACAGGCTCACCCCAACCCTACAAAAGCACAGGCGCTCTGCTCTGGAGGGGAGCCAGGGCCACTCTCAAGGCCCTCCTGGGGGCCAGGGCCTGGGTGCCCTGGGGAAGGAGCCCACGGCTCCGTTTCGTGCCCCAGAGCCATGGGTTCTTGAAGAATATTCCCAGCCCACTCACCAACATTCAGAAGCACAAGCCCGGAGACCCTGCTTGGTGGCCCTGCCTGGGGGATGGAGGCCTGAGGAGGGCAACAGCAAGGGCAGAGAACCTTTTTGAGGAACATTCCCACACAATACATTCCATCGGCCACCCACATCTGCTCAGGCTGGTCCTGGCCCCTGGGCACTTCTGGACACCATCCCCAGGTGAGCAGAGCCCTCAGAAGAAAGGCGAGATGGCCAGGGTGTGAGACCCTGTGGTCCCCACACACAGGTGGGCCTCCCTGTGGAGTTGCACTGACACCCACCTCCAGTCTCCTGGGGTCCCCCTCCCCTCCTCCAGGGGTTGCACATCAGCCTCCCCTGGCTCAGGGATCTCCCCCTCCCAGCTGGCATACTGTGCTTCTCAGGGGCCAAGGCACAGGAGACAGTCGCCACCATGCCCCTGGCGCCCCTGTCTCCCACCCTCAGCCGCAATGGGCCGCATGTCTGCATGGCAGAAGCGTCTCCCTTGGGCTCAGCCAGAGAAGGTGGTTCCTGTTCTCAGCACCCACCAATATTCAGTCCTATATATTTTAATAAAATAAACTTGACAAAGGAGGGGGACTCTTGCCAGCTTTATCTCAGATGAATTTCCCTCTTCCCCCTCCAAACCTGGCTGCTATTAGCTGTGGCTCCTGCCCAGGACTATGCTGGTAAATGTTTTTTTGTTTGTTTGACTTTTTTTTTTTTTTTTGGTACCAGGGATCAAACTCAGGACCTTGCACTTGCGAGGCAGGCGCGAGAACCACTGAGCTAAATCCCCGGCCCTGTTTGTTTGATTTTTGAGAAAGGATCTCACTGTGTAGCCCAGGCTGGCCTTGAACTCATGGTGATCTTCCTGCCTCAGCCTCCCCACCTGAGTGACAGGTGTGTGCCACCACACCTGACCTGTGCTGATAAATGTTGACAGCTACTCAGGGTGAGGCAACACCCCCAGAACTCAAGCTCCCAGTGGGCCATCACTGAGGTCAAGCTTCGAAGAGAGCCCTTCACAGTGGCCTTGGGGACCTTTCCCAGATAGTCCCAACCTACCCTGTGCCCAAAGCTGGTGGAGCAGAGTGACTTCATAAGGTGCCATGCAGATTTCATCCTAGATCATTTTTCTTTCCCATTTCCAGGAAGTCAGTTCCAGGTGTGGCTGGAGGGAACAGATGGAAGCAGAATGGGCCTGGAGACTTCTTCCTTCCTGGGGTTTATTTTCAAGAGTGTAAACTCCATGAGGGTTTTGCCAGGGAAAGGGGAAGGAAGACTGTGAAGGAGAAAAGGGCCTGGGCTGTGCCCCACATGCAGATCGACAAGCAAATCAGAGTCGCTGCAGTGTCTGAAGCCACTACATTCTGGGGTGGTTTTGATACAGAGGTAGATATTAAAACAACAAATTAAATGAGAAACCTTGTGACATTAGGTACAGAGAAAGCATTAAACACAGTCAAGCCCCACTGGCGCTCACAATTAGGAATGGTAAGGAACGAAAGATAACAAGGGTCTCTGAGGCAGACACCATACAGTGTTAGAAGCTTTCCCTTTAATTCAAGTCAAGCACCAAGCAGCGGACGTCATGCCTGCCTTGATCAAGACCAGTGAGTGACAGAATGGGAACAGCTCTGGCTGACCCCAGAGCCTGTGCCCTTTCTGTGCCAAGCAGGGTGGCAGTGGTGGTTAGAGCAATGGGCAGGATGTGACAGGATGGCTACCATAGAACACAGCCCATCTCGTGGCCCATTACACATTGTAAGTAGTGTGCAGCAGAGGGAGGCCTCCTGCCATGGGAGTGGTGGCTGAGAGCTCAGCTTGGTCAGATGACAGGGGTGGGAAGGTGACAGATGTGCTTGACACCTTGCAAGTGGTCCCTGGGCAGAGGAGAGGCAAGAGCTCTGGAATGAGGATTGTGGGTCTGTCTCTAGCACACGGGGCAGCCAGCTGCTCCCCATGGGCCCCCGGACATAGGCACTGGAGGCGGGGCCCTGAAGCTGCTCTGGTGTAACTCAAACCCCAGCTCCCAATGCACCAGCTGTACGGTCCAGGCCAGGATGCATAGTCCCTCTGTGCCTCAGTTTCCTCATCTGCAAAGCAGGTACCTGCATTACAGAACCAGGTCTAGAGGAACACAAGATGTTCAGGTACCAAATCCATCTCCAACAGTGGGATTGGCCACCATGTGTCCTGGTTTCAGGGCGTGGGTTATCCTGGGCTCCCTGCCTCACCTGTCTGTCCTGTGCAGTGTCTTCCTGCCCCTATAGCACCTACTGGCTGAAGACTTTCCCTGCTGGGTGTGGCTTTCCCCTACTGCACCCCTTGCCACCCCATAGATTGGCTCCCCTTGAGACAGGTGTCACAGTTGGCCCAATCAGCTCTGGGTACCAGGATTCAGCAGCTCTCTACCAGTTCCCAGCACAGAAGTCTGGATTAGAAGGGCCTAGGCGCTGCCCAGAGTGGTTGGTGTTGGGAGAAGATCGAGGAAGTCCTCCTCCCCTTCACCTCACCCCAACGGGATCGAAGAGCTGTGTCCCCAGTACCCAACCCCAGTAGATAAACTCCTTAACACATGTGTGCCTCTAGAGCCTTGCCATGTCGAGGGCATGGGGCTCATCCACTCTAGAAATTTTTGTGGCTTCAGCATACCTGTTTACCTTACAGAGCCTCAGTTTCCATCTGTAAAATAAGAAGAAAAAAATCCACTGATAGAACTGTTAGGATAATTCAATCTGCACACTTACTGGCCTTTTAATAAATATAAATATGAGCATCCTTTCTTTCTAACCACTGAAGTTTCCATGTATCAGGGTGACTTACACCAATAAATCATCAGAGAAAGTGCAGACAGCTCAGGATTTTTCCAGATCTTGGAAATAAATCCATGATGGGCCTCAGTTGCCCTGGTAACTCCAAGACCCATCTGGGGTCCACATAGCTAAGGAGGGGCAGTCTATGCCAGTCGGCCCACAGTAGGCAGCTCTCCATCTATGTGTCCACCACTCATTGCATGGCCAAGCTGACCAGCCACAGACAGGAAGAAGCCCTCAGAAGAAGCACTGAGCTTCCTGTGGGCCTGGCCTGTGTCCGTCACCCTCGAAGTGGCCCTACTGAGGCCTCCTTAATAGCACAGAATGGGAGAAGTGAGGTCCAGAGACATTGGCTAACAGACCCACATCCTTCCCATGGTGCTCTGCAGTACAACTTCCCAGAGAGGTGATAGCCAATCTGCCCTGAGAGGCTCCTGGCTTCTCAGATTTTCAGTCACCATTTGCTTGCAGTTCCAAGTGTTGTGACCCTACTGATCACCAGTGGGCAACTGCCCCACACCCGGGTCTCCTCACCTCTTTATAACCTTGTGCCCAGAGGAAACTTCGAGGAAGGGAAGCTGTTTACCATTTCCTTCATAGTCCCAAGGACATTTCATAGTTCTGTCTCGTTCTCCACATGGTGTCAAAAAAATTTTGAGGGTCTCAAGTAAAAGGTGCCAGGTGCTCCTAGAGCACACCTGGCTGGGGGCTGGGTGAGGGGACACAATAGCTATGTAGTCTTGTTTTATTAGCTCATACACCTAACTAGGACTTACCTAACTTAACACATAACACAGTAGGCTTCTTCTAATGCCGGAAAAGCTTTCGAGCCCCACTTTTACCCTGCTCAGCCCTTGTCAGGTCCAGGCAGCCAGGAGGAGACAGTGACTGATCAGGGTCTTGGAGGAAAGAGCCACCCAGAGAGAGGCAAGAGTGAGGGTCTCAGGGACTGAACTTGCAGTCAGCCACATCTCCTCTTTAATGGTGGCCTGGAGCCCTCGGGAACAACAGCCCGGCCCTTCAAGTTCACAGTGGCCTCAGAGCCCTGCAGATCGCAGAACTGTGTGCCCTTCGTGATCATCTGCCTGGGTGGGCGCCTGCCTCTCGTGACAGCCGGTACACAGCCGTGGTCCCCTCCTCCACCTCTTTCAAGTTCTAGTCCCCAGGTCTAAACTAAGGGAGGCACCATTCCACACTCATCAGGCTCCTAACCCACACCAACCATGGGCTACAGCCTGAGACCAGGGTCCCTGCTGGCAGGAAATTCACTCTTGCAGGGACACTGAAGGGTAAAGAGGGTCCAAGGCAAGGGCTCGGGCACAGGTCAGGAGACCAAGCTTGTCTGCAACCTACTGCTGAGGACCTCCTTGGCCAGGTGCCTTCATTCCAGGCAGGGCTCCTGTTCCTGAGATAGATTAGGGCGCAGCAAAGCTGGCTGAGGAAGTAGACATGACCTGTTAGTTACAAGATCCCAGACATGCCCAGAACAGTTCCCAACCCCTGCACGTGGACTTCTGGTGAGCACTTGAGCAGGTTTCAACAGGATGGCCTGGATCTGACATCAGCCTGAGCTGTGGGATCCCAGTGCTGTCTCTCAGGGAGAAGTTCTCTCGGGTTTCCTCAAGATCTGGACAACATATAAGGAACCAGGCGCTGTTTGGAACTGGCTATTGTGACTCTCTTCATGGGAGCGTGCTCGGCTTTCTCCAGGGCGTCCTTTTCTCCTTTGACTGTACTTGGTCCAACGGCTTCCTGTAGAGCCAGTATCTCTCTCTCTCTTCACTTACTTCCTCAAATAAACTTGGCCACTGGTTTTTACTCTTTTTGTTCAATTCTTTGTTTCAGATGAGAAGAACCTGGAATCGAATTCCAGGGGGAGAGGTAAGCGGCCTGAACCCCTAATGTTTAGTTGGCAAGCCACTTTTGGGAGCTAGCCGGTAACATTTCTGTCGTTGTCCCCATCAGTCTCCTCCCTCCCAGCCCACAGCAGGTGCTGGGCTCTCCACAGCCCTCTCACCCACTCTCCTGGGCCTCACTTTTCAGGTGAGGGGCGACCCAGGGGCCAGTCATGCCCTGGGAGGAAATCTCGGGGTACACGTGGCCCTCTTCGGTCACCTGGATTTGTCCCAGTTAGCTGTCTGTGGAGAGCACATGCAAGACAGGGGCCTGGGCCTGTGGACTGGATCCAGAGCCAGGGCACCTAGGAGCGACCCTGTGTTGCAGAGGGCCAGGCGGGGCCCACACCTCACACAGCATCTTGTCACTCGGCCAGACCTGAGCAGGTCCCCAGAGCTGAAAAAGGAACCTAACCCACCCTTGTAGAGTAAGCTTCCAGGAAAAAGTTTTCAGGATACAGCAGTAAGAGGCAGGGGGTTCATTAGGGTAAGTGAGTTCGGAAAATCAGAGAAATGGGATCCAGTACTTGCTGGAACAGGGATGTTTATGCTTCTACCCCAGGGGTGGAAACACCAGGAGAAGGGGTGGCGAAACCCAACCGACCTCCAATGCTGCTTGACAAAGTTCCAGGTGGGGGAAAGAAAGGGTGGAACACATCGTACCCTCATATTTTATTTTTTTCTTGCCATAATGTTTATAATCGTTACTCTGGTCACAGGAGTCATTGTGTTTGTGACTAACAACAAACTCTCCATGAGGCAAATTGGAAATGATATATTGAAATCTGATCTGGCTCACAAGTCCCCAAATTCCAGTTTCTCTTAGTTCTATTGCCACATCCACTCCTAAGGAAACCTCTCCTAAAACCCCTTCCGTTTTCCCACTACTATAACCCCCTCTCTTGTTGCTGACATTCTTTTACTAAAGGGGTCTTATGAAGAGATTGAAAGGACAGATTTTAGATGTAAGAAATAGTGGACAACTGGAAAAGAAAGAATGTTAAGACAGGTAAATACATTAAGGAGACAAGTTACTCAATATTTCTCAAAGTGCTGTAAATATCTCCTGCTCATGGACTATGAACCCAAATGACATTTAGTTAAGATGAATAGAGGTAAAGAAAAATAGAGAGCTAATAGCAACTATATTAACCATTGTGCAGTTTCTCAAGGGCCAGCTGGCGACCACAAGTTTGACATTTAATTAATTAAATCTTGCTTGTACCCCCGCTGATATAGAGATTTTGATTAAGTTACCTTCTGTTCTGCTTAGGTATGGGAAAATAAGGGGACAATTGTAATTTTTTAAAATGTATTCATGATGTTCAACGAAATGAATCAGCTTAGAAAAAATATACTCTTTTTAGCAAAAATAACCTTTACTTCAATAGATATTGCTAAGGCAACCTAAAATGTAAACATGTTCCGCCCAATGCCTCCTAGCTATTGCTTAAAGATATAAAAATAAATCAGACCCTGAGACTTATCAGAGGGAACCTGAATATTGCTTGAGGAGGTTCTTTTCTCATCACCGGCCCAGGACATCTCCCCTTCCTACCCTAGATCGACATCGACTGCAGCTGGTCTGTGGCAAAGGGGGGCACCCCCAAGAAGGGTGCTAATCACTCTACAGGTATGGACATGGGTTTTGTTTAATTATTCATGGTAATTTAAACATGCTTTGGGTTCTCTCAACCTGCCTTTATTTTAGAATCAGTTTCCTGCTCTTTACTTTCTCAATTACACCAATTTATGGACCCATATTCCTGAGGGATTCTAGGTGTGGTGTGTCTGGTAGGAAGGAGTCTAAATTTAACCAAAGAAGGCTGATATGCATCAACTTGGGTGACTTCAGCTGAGGCCCAGAAGGTGCAGTCTTCTTTATTTTTTATTTTTTTTATTTTTGTGGTAGTGGGGATTGAACTCAGGACCTTGCTGAGCTAAATACCCGGCCCGAGGTCTTCTTAAAAGTTCAATTTTGGGTTATGATTTCCTTGTCTTCTTTCTACCTTTTGTTTCTTCTGTCCTACCTCGGTCTCTGCACTTGGAGAAGGAAGTAAGGCCTGCTTAGCCTTGGTCCCCAAGAAGGGCTTTGAGGTTCCTGGGAAGGCCTGTGCGCTGAAGTGTGCCTGACAGGACAGTCCCGTGCGGCCTGGAAAGGAATCAGTGTCCTCCTGAGCAGGTCCCTGAAGACAGCCCTGGGTGGTGGCACCCAACTGTGGACCATCCAACCAACAGACTTCTTCCACTGGCTGCCTGACCCACAGTGGGTGTCAGCCTTAGAATTGTGGACCTTTTAGAAAGATTTTTTTTTTTTTTTTGGTACAGGGGATCAAACTCAGGACCTTGCGCTTGCTAGGCAGGTGGTGAAACCACTGAGCTAAATCCCCAGCCCTGGGGACCTTTTAGGGAGGTATGGCCACATGACCCAATAACAGGCAGCCCTATGCTGGGAATGTTGGGACAAGAAGCTGAAGCTGAAGCAGAGAGTGTGTGAGTGCTGGAGCTGTTGCTGCCATTTTGTCACTTAGAGGAGCCATGAGAATGAAACCAGAGCAGAAAACATTCTTTCTCAGGGATGGGGAGAGAAAGGCTGAGGGGAAGCAGGGACAAGTGGGCCCTTGAGCTCAAAATCAAACTGTATATTAAGCAATTCTCTCCTTGAAGGGAGGGCAGGGGAATGGGGAAAAAATAAGAACCAAGATATACTATGTAAAGGTACAAATTTCCAATGATGAATGTCATTATATTGCCTACCTAAAATGTACCAATAAAATTAATTTTTTAAAAAAGCAATTCTCTCCCCATCTCTGGACTTTTCACTTATAACAGCCCTAAATGCATTCCTAGTCAGCCCTACCAAGCCGGTTAGAACAGGATGCTCAGCACTTTTGATTGCAAAGTTCTCAACTGCTAATGCCAAGGTCAGCTGTGGGATGTGAATCTGCTTTCCAGGCTCCAGTGGGCCCTGAGAAGGGGGCCGGACCAACAGGCCCACACTGTCACGCAGGCCAGACTGCAGGCGCCTTGCAAGCAGGAGCCACGAGTCACCCCGGGGCCCACCACTGGGGAGGCTGCCGTGTGGGGGGGAGGGGAATGCTGTGTAAATGCGGCTGAGCTCCAGTTCAGCGGGGGCGGCTGCCGCGTGGGGACCAGGAGGACTGCGCAGGGTTCCCAGGGCAGGGCCAGGGCGGGGGCCAGCTCTCGGGTTCCCAGGGGCAGTCTCCCTGAGAGACCTCTGGCCTGAGCATCCAGGCTGGAACACCCACCACCAGGCTCCCTGGCCCGTTCTTCCTTCCTCTCCCGGTCTCTGGGGTCCCACCCCAGGGGTGCAGCAGACCAAACCAGACAGCGCTTCTTCCTGGTTTTGAAAAATCACCAAATACAGTAAAACATCCAGAAACTAAAAATAAGGCCCCCAAGAGCAGATCATCAGTTAGTTCTTGACAGCCAGCTGCAATTGCAAAATCTTTGACTTCCTCACTCTGTTGACAAACTTTCCCTGCCCAAGTCAAAGTTTCTCCTGGGCAGAGCAAAAGGGGCCTGCAAGGGAGAGGATTCTGGGCTCCGACTTGCTCCCTTCCCCACCGCTGGCTCCCACTGCTACCCTACTTCCCATGTGTGTGAAAAAGTAACAAGTCACTAGGGTATGGGAGGGCGAGCAGCATCAACAGCCCACAGCCCATCATCCTGGGCCCTGCCCCTGCCCACTGCTTCTTTGCTTCCTTCCTTCCTTCAAAACAAAAAGCACTAAACAAACAAAACAAAAAGCACTATGTCAGGGAATGAGAACAAAACAGCAGAAATAAGGTATTGTCAACAAATACTGTGAACGTTTAAATTTTAAATTATTACAGTAAAAGACACATTCCTACTAATCCCTCAAAAATGCCCCCCCCCAAACACACTTATCCTACCATTCGTGCCACTTCTGAAGCAGTTCTGGAAGTCCTCTTTTGTGAGTGTCTTTACATGGAGTGATCAAAAATATGGTGAATGTCAAGTGCCATCCAATGGAAAAGCAGGCTTTAAAAAAGCATGCTGGTGTGTCCTCATCCACCATATCCACAGGATCTGGCACCACACAATTTCTGGCTGTGCCCTAAAGTCAAAAGGGTTATGAAAGGTGAATGGTTTGAATTGACTAGGGATATAGATACAGCCATGACAGCACAACTAAAGACCCTCACAAAAGTAGACTTCTGGAACTGCTTCAGAAAATGGCAAGAACAGTGGAACAAGTGTTTGATGGGGGAGGGGTGAGTATTTTGCAATGAATTAATGCCAATGTATCTTTGACTATAATATGCTTTTTAAAAATTAAATATTTGTCATTTTTTTTATCACACCTAGTATGTAGTCCCCTATCCAACCACAATGCTCTGCCAGCATCACCACCTGTGAACTAACAGAGCCTGCCCCCTTTTGGACATTCTGCACAGCACTGGGTCTCACCAAGGAGCTCATTGCCCAGCATGTAAAAGATTCTTCTTACCAGGTGCCCACCTCTAGGGGCAGAGATCTAACTGAAGGTTGGATACCTTACTGTGCAGGTTGAGAGACAACATCTTGAAAAGTAGAGGTTATGTTGTGATATACGCGCACCTATGTTTATAGCGGCACAGTTTGTAATAGCCACATCTTGGAAACAGCCCAAATGCCCATCAACTGGTGACTGGATGATACAATGGAGTACTACTCAGCCATAAAGAATGATAAACTAGAGACATTTATAGCTAAATGGATGCGTATTGAAGCCATACTCTTAAATGAAATAAATAAGATCAAGGGGTCAAGAATCTCGACTTCACTACTTCTATTGCCTGCGTCGTCTTGGACAAAACACTTCTGGTTTCCCACGAGCAAGACAGATACAACTATCCTTCCCTCTATTAATACGTCAGAGTCAAAAGACAAACATTTTTGTCTCTGTTCACCAGTGTGCTACGACTTGGTCTCCTCCGCCACTTTTTGCCTCAGGATCACAAAGATGCCTGGCCTGGGGAGAAGCCAGCATAGCGTCCAGGGCGCAAAACTTCAAAAAGACCTCACTCTCTGGTCCCGCAAGCCCAGGGTCGCCCTGTAAGTACGGCCCTGAAAATGTGGGCCCATGGTGCCCAAGGTCCAGACGGATCCATGCAGAGACACTCAGGATCCGGAGCTAGGTCCGCCCCTCCGTGATATGGCTTCCGCGAAGAACCAGGCGCCCGTCTATTGGCCATCGCATCGTGACGCCACTAGGGTGCGCCGCTCGCTTCGCGTTTTCTGTAGAGGCCTCTCGCCGGCCTTTTGCAGCCGCACTGCGTGGACTGGCCTAGCCCCTGGTGCCCACTGTCCTGACCTCCCGTACCGCGGGCACGATCCCCACAGCGAAGGGTGCCAGGCAGGACCGGCCGTCGCGGCCAGGTAGGTTGGGTCTCGGCCAGGCCCGGAGGGTGGCTCTGGCGAGGACACGACTGGAAGCAGGTGGCCCGTTTGCCTCTGGCCCCACGGTCGGCGAGGCGTGGACTGACTGCAAAGGGTGGAGCTGGACATCTAGAAAACAGAGGGACCGACTTCGCCTCCGAGCGAAGGTGCAAACCTGAGTCCCAGGCTGCCACGGTTGTGGTTTTTCCACCTCCCGTCCCGGCGCTTTTCTTCAAGGACACTTTTGCACAGTTGCCTTGAGCTCGGGCTGTGGGGTATAAAGGTTACTGCGGAAGCACCGGGGCACCTTGACAGGTAATTTTACCGCGTTAAGCTTCGGTGCCAGCATCCATACAATGGAAGCACCTGACCTGAGGGAATGATTCTAAGGGTGGAATGAAGCTGCATGTGACCGTCACGTGAGAATGACACGATCCGCGGGGCCTGGAACTACCTATGAGTGCAAGTGGGCAGCGTGCTCTGAGGTCTGGGCTGATGCCAGTTAGGGTCTTTGAAGATTTCCTGTTGGAGAGGTGGAGAGGTGCCCCGGGGAGTGGAGATGTGTTGAAGCTAAGTTGTCTTGCTTGCCCAGCCCCTGGATTCTGAATCAAGAATTTTGATATCACCCGGACAAGGATTTAGATACCAACGCCTTTTCCTCCTAGCTGTGTGACCCTTGGACCTTGGGCAAACTCCTTAACCTCCATAAGCCTTATTTTTTTAACCTGTAAAATGGAGCTAACAGTACCTGTCATCCACAATTGTCAGAAGAATGAAACCAGATATTACAGGTAGAACACTTATCATAGTACCTGGCACTCAGTGGGCATAGTTAGTGTTATTTTAGTGAGCACATGCAGTGTGGCTCAGACAGCCTTTTGATGGTGGTGGTATGGTCGGTGTTTGGGTAAGACAACACAGGGCAGGAGACACAAAGCCCCGGTTTGTTTGTTGCTTACACTCTTGCAAACCAGCACAGTGGTGACCTAAGTCTAATAAATCTTTAACTGGATAGGGCAGGTTGCCTCACCTGGTCCAAGAGTCTGGGGCTCAGAGAGCTACCTCCACTTTTTTTTAGCATAAAGAGCTATTTTTAGAAGCAAGGCACTGTGCTGCTGAGGGACTGCGGTGAAGAGTGGAGACTGGACTCAGACTGAGAACAAAATGAGAGAATTGGCAGAGCTGGAGATACCACCAAGCTGTCCCATTAAGTGAAAAATCAAGCCCTTGCTTCTGTCATTTGATCATGGAACAGTCAGGTGGGGGCTGCTCCTAGAAGACTGGATGGCCTGGTGGAGGTTCTGGCTTGAGCATGTGAGCAGTGGAAAGCAGTTTAAGGTGGGGAGCAACAGGACCCAGTTAGCACTTCAAAGCTTGCAGGAGGCAGCTATGAGACCAGTTTTAGCCATGGCCCCTGGCTTGTGCCTGGCTCTACTCCTAGTGAATCCTATTTCTGCTCATTTCAGCCCATCCCTGCTTGCAGCACTTGCCCAAGAGGCTAGACAAAGGTAGGGCCCTCCCTTCTCATCTTCGAAGCACCAGTCCTGCTAGCTGAAGTGTGCTTATATCATTTCTTCACATCTGTCTCCCTTACAAGCAGCATTGCAGGGCTGAGTCTGACCTGTGGCAGCCTGGCACATTGTAACCTTCAGAAAACACTGGGGGATGAAAGCCTAGACTCTACAGGACTAACCGCTTAGAGCCTGACATGAAGTAGTCACTCCTCTACTCTTACCTCCTGAAGTACATACAGCAGGATGAAACATATCTTATTAATTGGACCACTTGCTATGTGGTTTCATGGGGCAAAGGACTTGGGCTACATCTCAAGGAATTGTGGGGATCCCAGTAATGGTTCTGAGATCCTCTGTTGTCTGGGTCCCACTTCTTTCTGCCCAGGTGCTGATGTTGGTCTCAGGGAGAAAAAGCTTGCTCACAACTCTGCTGCAGGCTCAGAAGCAGCCCTTTCAGCCCCACAGACACATGAGACTGGTGCAATTCCTGGCTCCCCACCTGGCGGGACCTCACCTGGGCCTGGAGTCGGGGATTGCCGGTGGTGTCATCGACCTCAACGCCTATGACCCCACACTCCCCACGACGATGACACAGTTCTTGGAGCAGGGAGAGGCCACCCTCTCGGTGGCAAGAAGGTAAACTGACAGACAGCAGCATCCTGCAGCCACCACCCTGGCCCCTCTTCCTCCTCCACCACCTCCGTACCCTGGGAACTAGAACCAGCAGGGAGCCTTTTGCAGAGGAGCAGGCAGGTTACCCAGCTTTCCTTTTTCACCTGTTCCCTCAGTGAAGAGCCTCAGGAATCTTGCATAACATCTCCAACTTACTGAAGGAGAAACTGCAGTCCAGGGAGGGTAATTAAACTTCCAGGGCCACACAATGGGTATGCAGTTAGGACTTCTCTTCCTTAGGGGATTAACTCTGCCCACCTGAGGTTGTCTAGGACCTCAGGGCCTAAGAAGGAGGCATCTTGGGAGGCAGGGGAGTGATTTAAACTCCTGGATCCTTGAAGTGTACAAGACTGCAAAGAGAGTTTCTCCAAGGTAACTGGCTCCTGTGCTTGGGCTAGACTAACTGGGGGCGTCCCTCCATCCAGAGCTGTACGGGGTCTGGTCTGAAGGATCAATGAGCAATACATTAGAACCATTGTAAGATGTTGTTTGCACCTACTGAATCGGCAGAAATTGAAAGGGTTGGCAGCCCACAGTGTTGGTGACAGCATATTCCCATACTGTCATACGCTGGAGAGACTGGAAATGCTGTCCATGGCCCTCATTAGGGAACTGGGTGATCTTAACAGAGCAGTAATATGCAGCCATGAGAAATAAAATTAAGAGACTGTATATATTGTTGTGGAGAGATCTTCAAAGTATAGTTTCTTAGAAAGACATATAATGTGCTATTATTTGCATACAGAAAGGTGAGAGAAGCATTTCACAGAGTAGCTGTTAATGACCCCCGACACAGTGGCTGTCTCCAGGGAGGAGCATGGGGTGACTGCAGGGGTGAAAGAGACCTTTCCATTTATTCCCATTCATGCTTTCTAAACTCACCTGGATGGACATAAATTATCTATTGGGGGAAAGGAAATAAATGCTGGCTAAATAACAAATAGTGTCGACATCAGAGGGTAGTAGTTTGGGCCTGATTTTCATACTGATGCTGACAGTTGATAGATCTAGAAAATACATCTTCAAAAGCAAAACTGGAAACTGCTGCAGGATCTCCCCAGCCTGCCCGAGGATGCCAACCTGTTTGCAGCCAGCCCCTCTCCTGTTTGGTCTCTGCAGGGCCCTGGCTGCACAGTTACCAGTCCTCCCACGGTCCGGGGTGACTTTCCTGGCCCCAGTCACGCGGCCAGACAAGGTGGTGTGTGTGGGCTTGAATTATGTGGACCACTGCAAAGAACAGAATGTGCCTGTGCCCAAGGAGCCCATCATCTTCAGCAAGTTCGCCAGCTCCATTGTGGGGCCCTATGATGAGATCCTCCTGCCACCTGAGAGCCAGGTCAGCACCTCCCCATGCCTTCCAGAGTCACTGGGTCCCCTCACCAGGGCACTGTCAGCCTGCAATAGTCCTCTGTCACTTAGCACCTGAAGCAAACTACAGGGGGAAGAATGTGCAGTGCTAACCCTGGCCCCCAGAGGAAAGGCATTCATTCATGTGCATCTTTTCCTGATTATAAAAGTAATATATTTTGATTGCAAAGCCATCTTCCCCGGCCCAGGGCTTTTTTCTTCCTTTTCTAAGGAGGTCTTTTGATATATCTTGCTCTACCTTCCCAGCAATTTTCTGTTCCTGGCTATACCTACTTTTTACTGAAGACTTCACCAAGAGTATTTTTCATGCCATTAAATATTCCTCTGACATAGTTTAAGTTGCTGTGGTTTTCTGTTGGGCCAGTAGCTATCATTTCCTCACTAGATCCCTACTGCTGGACTTGTTGTCTGGGGGGGCTTTCATAGTGCTGCAGTGAATATTCTACATAGAAAAGGCTTTGCGCATCCACTAATAAATGATTCTTTCTTTAGATTAAACTCTTAGAATTTGATTGTCTATGTCAAAATATAGGTAGCATTTCAAAACTTTTGAGAAGTTTTGCCAATGTGATGTTTTCAAAAGGTATGAAAGCAATTTACACACCCACCAACAGTGCATATGCCCTTAATACCACTAGTTAGATTTTTCTCTCAAATTTTTAAGTTAGAAATGTTCTGGAAATTATAGAAACGTTGTAAAAAGTTGTACAACGAATGCTAAGATACTTTTCCCCCAGTTTCACTGTTAACATTTTGCCTTATTTGCCTCGTTTTTCTCTCCACATGAACAAATACAATTTTTGTAGGGGCCAGACCTTTGAAAGTAAGCTTCAGACATTAAGACCATTCTCTCACAAGGACACTGGGCTGCAGGGCCGTAATGCCATCATCACCGCATGAACATGGGTATGAACACTGCCATACACAGGCCAGTTGTCCCAGGTCAGTTGTCCTGACTGGTCAGGAGTACTGTATTCCCAGTTAGCCCAAAGATGACTTTGGTTACTTTATTTTTTTCAGTCAATAAGGGAGCAACCAAGGCCACACATTGTATCTGTTGATATCCGTTTAGTGGCTTTAAACTGGAGCAGAGTCTGCAACTTTACTAGTGGGCTGATTGGTAAATAGGAGCCTCTGTCAGGTGTCTCTGCTGCAGCAGTTCGGCTCTGCTGTTTCAGTGTAAAAACTGCCCAGGATGATAGTGAATGAATGAATGAATGTGATGGGATTCTGGTAAGACTTATTTAGGAAAAGAGGTCAAAAGCTGGCTGTGGTTTGCTGACCTCTGAATTCAGTCCCCACGGCCTCCTTCTCTTTCCTGACACTTTTTGAAGAATCCAGTCAAGTTTTCTCACAGCACATCCTGATTCTAGTTTGGTCTTGTATCCTCATTACTGGATTCAGCTTAAGCATTCCTGCCAGAAGTGGAGGCAGGAAATGGTCTGTGCCTCCCCTTGCATCCCACTGGGGGGCTCCTGCCAAGTGGCCTTAGAATGTAAGCACTCACCGTGACTCTGTGAGCTGCATCTTGCAGTTGGAATGAATAAGTGATCCAGGGTCATAGTTCAAGATCAGATGACTCTTACTGCCCCACTGCTTTCTATCCAGAGCTCCTAGGTCACCCTTCCCTGAATCCATTTTTGAACCAGGGACGATGGGAGATGATTTTTGTATTATGCCTTCTACTCTTATTTATTTTTATTTTTATTTTATTTTATCCCATTCCTCTCTCCCCTCCCTGTCTACAAAAGCTTTGTTTTCATTTTTTCCTTCTGTTTTCACTATTTTTCTTATCCCTTCCTTCCTTTCTCCCTTCCTCCTCCCTTGTTCCCCTTATTTGAATGTTTTCTTCCCAGTATCTATTATACATTTTAGTCCTTACTGTTTCTCACACTAGAGAAACAATGCAGTATTTAAACATGTGTCCCATTTATTTTTCTTAATAGTATGGCCTCAAGGTCCATCCATTTAACTATAAATGTCTGAAGGTCATCCTTTTGGGCAGAGTAGTACTCCATTGTGTTAAAAAACCATATCTTCCTTATCCATTCATTGGTTGATGGGCATTTGGGCTGTTTCCAAGATTTAACTATTCCAAACTGTGCCGCCATATACATACATGGGTGTGCATATATTGCTGTGCTAGGACGCTTTTAATTCTTTTGGGAAGATACCAAGAAGGGGAATGCCTGGGTCAAATTGAACCTCTAGTTTTAGTTTTTTGAGAAATCTCCACCCTAATTTCCACGAGGTTGCACCAGTCTTCACTCCCACCAGCAGTGGAGAAGGGTTCCTTCTTCCCCACATCCCCACCAGCATTTGTTATTGGTTTATTTCTTGATAGTAGCCATCCTTTCTGGAGTGAAATGGAATCTCAGTGTTGTTTTCATTGGCATTTCACGAATGACCAGTGATGTCAAACATTTTTTCATATATTTATTTATATTTCTACTTCTTGATCTGAGAAGTGTCTTCATTTCAGATGCCCATTTTAGGATTGGGTCTTTAAATTTGTGGGATCTGATTTTTTCTGATTTCTTTATATATTCTAGAAAATATTCCTTTATCTGATGAATAGCTAGTAAAAATTTTTTCTTACACTGTGGGTTGTTTCTTCACTCTGTTAGCCATTTCTCTTGTGGAAAAGCTTTTGTATCCAGCTATACCACTGAATTTGGTTATCAAATCTTGAAGTCTTTTGGTGGAGTTTTTGGGGTCTTCTGTGTAGAGTATCATGTCATCTGCAAATAGTGCTAATTTAACTTCTTCCTTTCTTATCCTTATTCCTTTTATTTCTTTCTCTTATCTAATTGCTCTGGCTAATGTTTCCAGTACAACATTGAACAAGAGTGGTGACAGTGGACATCTCTGTCTTGTTCCTGATTTTAGAGTGAAAGCTTTCAGTTTTTGTCCATTTAGAATGATGCTGGCTGTTGGTTTGTTGTAGATGGCTTTTATCAGATTGCGATAAAGACCATCTATACCAAATTTCTGTAGAGTTTTTAAACATAAATGGGTCTTGGGCCTTGTCAGTTGCTTTTTCTGCACATATTGAGAGGATCATATGGTTTTTGTTCTTGTCTCTGTATTAAATTTATTGTATACATTACAGTGTATTACATTTATTGATTTGCATATGTTGAACCATCCCTGCATCCCTGGGATGAATCCAACTTGGTCATGGTGTATAACCTTGATGATTTGCTGCATTCTGTTTGCCAGTGTCTTATTGAGGATTTTTACATCTATGTTCATTAAGAAGATTGGCCTGTAATTCTTTCTTGGTTGGATCTCTCTCTGGTTTTGGAATCAGAGTAATGCTTGCTTCCAAGAATGAATTTAGGGTATTGCTTCCCTTTCAATTTCATTAAAGAGTTTGAGAAGTAGTGGCATTAGGTCTTCTCTAAATTTCTTGTAGAATTCGGCAATGAATCCATCAGGGATGGGCTTTTCTTCGTTGGTAGGTTTTTAATTACATATTCAATTTCATTGGCTGATATTGGTTTATCTAGAATTTCTATATCTTCCTGGTTCAGTTTTGATTAATTCATATGTATCTAGGAATCTATCCATTTCTTCTTTATTTTCCATCTTATTAGAATACGGGTTCTTGAAGTAGGTACAAATGATCTTCTGGATTTCTGCAGAATCTGTTGTGATTTTACCCTTTTCATTCCTAATTGCATGGATTTGAGTCTTTTCTTTCCTTTTTTGATAAGGTTGGCTAAGGGTTTGTCAATTTTATTTAGTCTTTCAAAGAAACAACTGATTCATTGATTCCTTGTATTGGTTTGTTGGGTTTTTTGGGGGGTTTTTTTGGTACCAAGATGGAACTCAGGACCTTGTGCTTGTGAAGCAGGTGTGGTGCCACTGAGCTAAATTCTCGGCCCCCTTGTATTATTTTTTAGTCTCCATTGCATAAATTTCTGCTCTGATTTTTATAATTTCCTCTCTTGTACGAGCTTTGGACTTGAGTTGCTCTTCTTTTTCTAGAAGCTTGAGGTTCAAAATTAGGTTGTTTATTTGAGCCCACTCTGTTTTCCTAATATGTGTATTCACCACTATAAATTTCCCTCATAGGACTGCTTTCGTGGCATCCCTTAAGTTCTAGTATGTTGTATTGTCATTATCATTTAATTGTAGAAATTGTCTGATTTCTTCCTTAATTTCATCTGTGACCCATTGATTATTCAGGAGGGTGTTATTTAATTTCCATGTGTCTATGAAGTTCTTGTGGTTTCCTTTGCCATTGATTTCCAATTTCATTGCACTATGGTCTGATAATATTTATGGGCTAATTTCAGTTCCTTTGCATTTACTTAAGCATGTTCTATGAGCTAATATATAGTCTATTTTGGTGAATGTCCCATGTGCAGCTGAGAAGAATGTGTATTCTGATGTTGTGGGGTGGAGCACTCTGTAGACATCTACTAAGTCCATTTGTTCAAAAGTTTGGTTCAGTTCTAGTATTTTGTTAATTTTTTTTTTGGTACTGGGTTTGAACTCAGGTCCTTGGGCTTGCGCAGGAGGTGGCGAAACCACTGAGCTAAATCCCCGGCCATTTTGTTGATGTTTTGTTTAGTTGATCTGTCTATTTGTGACAGTGGGGTTTTCCATTAGTGCTTATATGATTTTTTGTGTCTATTAATATTTGTTTTATCTAGTTGGGTGCACTGCTATTTCGTGTATATATATTTATGAATGTTATCTCTTCCTCTTGGATTGTTCCCTTTACAAGGATGTAAAGGGATGTAAAGATTCTTTGTCTCTCTTAATCAGTCTTGGCTTGAAGTCCATTTTATCTGCAAATGGAATAGCTACCCCTGCTTTTTTCCAAGTTCCTGTCACATGTAATATTGTTTTTCATCCCTTGACTTTCCATCTAATGAATTTGTTTTTGAGTTAAATATGTTTCTTGTATGCAGTATATTGTTGGATCTTGCTTCTTAATCCAGTCTGACAGTGTATTTCTTTTGATTGGTGAATTGAGACCATTAACATTGACGGTTATGACTTATATGTATTGTCTCATCTCGGTCATGTTATTTTCCTGTTGTTGGCTTGCTTCTTTCTTTTTCTGTTTAATTTCTTGCCTTGCCTGGTAGATTCATTTTGTTGGGATTCATGGAGTTATAATCCTTGTTGTCTCTTTCTAGAATATCCTTCAGAACACTTTGGAGTGCTGGTTTGGAGGTAATGAATTTCTTCAGGTGCTCTTTGTTATGGGAGTATCTTATTTCTCCATCAATTCTGAATGATAGTTTTACAGGGTACACCAATCTGGGTTGGAGGTTGTTTTCCTTTAGGGATTGAAATACTTCAAGCTTTCCTTGACTTGAGAGTTTGTATTGAGAAGTCTGCTGTGATTCTGATAGGCTTTCCTTTATTCCTTTATCAGTGATTTGTTTCTTTTTTCCAACAGCTTTTTTTTTTTCTTTTTTTGGTACTGGGGATTGAACTTGGGTCCTTGCACCTGCACAGCAGGCGGCAAAATCACTGAGCTAAGTTCCCAGCCCTAACAGCTTTTAATATTGTCCTTGTGTTGAATTTCTGGAATCTTGACTACTATATGCCTTGGGGAAGATTTTTTTTTTTTTTGATCATGGCTAATTGGAGTCCTATATGCCTCACTTATCTGTATGTCAAATTCTTTTTCCCTGTTTGGGAAGTTTTTTGCCATTACTTGTGATAACAGGTTTTTTATGTCATTTGCACTATTTCCTGCTTTTTCATTGACTCCAATCAATCTTAGGTTATTCTTTTTTGCATCATCTAGCAGCTGCTGGATTGATTTCTCATGGTCCCAGAATCTCTATTTTCTTTCTTTTTTTGTTTTTTTGGTACCTGGGATCGAACTCAGGACCTTGCGCTTGCAAGGCAGGCACCGGAACCATTAAGCTAAATCCCCAGCCCCGGGAACCTCTGTTTCCATTATCACTAACTGCAATCTTGTCTTCTATGTCTGATATTCTGTCCTCACATTGGCTTATTCTGCTGTGTATACTTTCAATGGCGTTTTTAATCTCCTGGATATCTGTTTGAATCTGTTTGATGGCTTTTCTTTCCTGTGCTGGGTATTCATGGTTTCCATCGTGTTATTGAGCTCCTTTATTTTTTTTGTCTGTATCTGCTCTAGAGTCACTAAGCATGTCTTTCATTCTAGTCATCCCTGTAGTTTTCTGGGAAGTTATTTCTTCTTTGAATTTTTCTAGAGCCTCATTCATCTGCTTTATTCTGCTGTTACCACTTCAGAGAGTCTAGCTGGATGCCTTTCAGATTGTTCCACCTCATTGGCCCCGGGGTTTGCCTTTGGTGAAGTGAAAGTCTGGGGAGGGGGGCTGCATCTTGTTTTAAGTGTCTTCTCATTTTCTATTTTTTTAAAAGTTTGATTCCTGGGTTGATGCTTATATATTGTTTATAGCAAGTAGCTTTATTGCCAGAATTTAGAACCCTTAGGAAATGACTACTCTTCAAAAGTGTCTTCCAGGTGTACCTGGCTTTTGGGTTTTGAGTCTTTTACGAGATCCTACCTCTTCAATTTATTGGGGATAAGAAGTTTCTGCCTACTTGGCCCAGTTGCCAGTTCTTTTGCCAGTTGTTGTTTTTTTTAACACCCTTAGGGAATCTCAGTCTTAGTATATCAGGAGGAACAACCAATTAGCACAGTTATGACACCTTGGCTAAAGTAGTACAATCAACAATAACAGTAGCATCAAATACAGCCTAGAAAATGACGGACTGTAATAACTATTAATTTGCTACCCTTAACCATATGAACAGGATTTGTGGCTATATAACAAAATCTAGAATTAATCCAAAAATAGTATGCAATAAATAGGCCCTTAATATGGAGATTTTAGCCTTAGGGGAGAAGATTGAAAAAGGGTTGGAGGGGGAACAAATAGAAGAAGAGGAAGAGATCAGAAGCAAGGCTAGAGGACAAACGTTAGGAACTGATGAAGAAGAGAGGTGGGAGAAAGAAAAGGGAAAAATAAAAACAAGAACAGCACATAAAAAAACAACTAGAAGCCGTGTTCAAACAATTAAGAAAAAACAAGAACCAGGAAGTAGGAAAAAAACAGAGAAAAGAAAAAAAAAAGGTCCAATTCAAAATGTGTCTCTGCTGTCACTGGTAGGCAACTCGGGCATACAGTCTAGAGCCAAATTGATTAATCTCAGCAAGCCAGCTGCAACTTCATGGTGGGGGAGTTGATAATCCCAGCTGGCCTGCTCCCTTAGTTCCTCTGCAATTTCTGGCTGTGAGGCTGGAACCAGATTCCTTGAGCCTACAACAGACTCTGTATCTCCTGCTGGCTTGAGCTCTGTTCCTTGGCCTCCTGCTGACTTGAACTCAGTACCCACATCGAGACACAACAACTAGATGGAGTCTGCCCACAGCTGTTTCAAGCTCAATTAGCTCCTTTCCAAGATGGCTACAGGCCAGTTGCCCTCTCCTGGGTGAGGTCTGAACCCACATAACTCACCAGCTACTGCGTCCACTGCTCTGTTCCACTGGTGTGTTTCTCCCTGGAGGCCTCTAGGGTAGCCAGTAGTTGCCATGTATCTGCAGGTTTGGGCCACCATTCCATGCCAAGAGTCCAGGCTCTGGGAGAGAGTGCTGCTTGCTATCTCCCTCCTCTTTTTAAAGTCTCTCTCTTCACTCTGCCTATGGACTTCAGTTCTCCCCTCAGATCCTTCCTGGGTCCTGGGGACTCACTTCCCTCATTCTTCTCCTCCTTGTGTTGTTATATTCCAAGGTCAGGACACCAAATCTTGAGAGGGCTGGGGCTTTAGCTCAGTGGTGCTGCAACTGCACCTCAGTTTGATCCCCAGTACCAAAAAAAAGACACCAAATCTTGGAGAGACTTTTTCTGCTGCTTACTACTCTGCCATCTGCCTTCTATTCTTATGAGCAGGCATTCTGTGAGGAAAAGCTGCATCCATGCCTCATATGGTGAATTCCTGATTCTTATTCATTGATTATAATCCATAACCTAATGTTCTTTTTATGGCTGGTTTGCCCAGTGGGGCCATAGTGAGGCTCTCCCCTTTACCTTGAGCACTTCCTTGATTTCTGGCCATTCTTCCAACTGGTCTCTACTAGTAGTGTCCTGGACTGAGGATTGGCCATTTGCTAGTTCTCTTTAATGCTGCTTGGTATTAGAGACCAGCCCCTGGGTGTCAGGTGAACTTATACAGCTCTGATTATTACATTAGAGATAACAGCTAATGTGAGACGCTAAATTTTGTCTATTTATCTATTTTGCTGATTTGGGGAGAGACTGAGCATTTGTTCATGCTTTGTAACCGTGAGTATTTCTTCCTGGTGTCTTGCTTATTTAAGCCCTTTGGCTACATCAATTCTGGGATGTTGATCTTTTTATTGTCATGAAAGGAAGTCAGTCCACATTAGCATTTAGTGCCTAACACACAGCAGGTTACATTTGCTGTTAACTGGTATCATTCTTTGTTGAAAGCACCAAGGGTGACTTTTAAACTCCATCCCCCAGACATGTTGCTTTTCTAGTCACAAAGCAGAGCTATGCCAGCTTAGGGGTCTATGCATCACTCTGCCTCGTCATTGTCTCGGCTTTGGTTGTGGTGACTGCAAAGAGGGGCTGGCAGCCAAGCCCCACTGGCAGAGATCCTAAGCCCTGAGGCCCAGTGTGCCACCTCTCTGCTCAGGAATAGACCTCACAGCTGCCAAGTTTACCACCCCTCTCCCACTCTACAGGAGGTGGACTGGGAGGTGGAGCTGGCCGTGGTCATTGGGAAGAAAGGCAAGCACATCCAGGTGAGAGCTTCTGCTGCTGCCTGCTGTCTCTGGCACTAGGATGTGGTTGGCACCTCCATGCTGTGTGGCTCCTTGTCCCACCTAGCTCTGGCTACAAACGTGTGAGAATGGCGTTGAGATCATTTGTCCTAGGGGTTAGTGTCACCTGTGACATACTTTATCTAGCCAAACCCTACCCCCATAGGCCACAGATGCCATGGTTCACGTGGCAGGCTTCACCGTGGCTCATGATGTGAGCGCTCGGGACTGGCAAGTGAGACGCAATGGGAAGCAGTGGCTGCTGGGAAAGACCTTTGACACCTTCTGTCCCCTGGGTCCTGCTCTGGTTACCAAGGACAGTGTAGCAGGTAGGTCCCTGTCTTTGCCACTTGTGCCTGCCCTTGGGCAGATACTCAGGGTCAGAAGGCAGTGGTGCAGGAGGTAGGGATGTGGTCCAGCTGCCAAGTGCTGCCCCTGCAGAGGGCAGGTGCAGTCCTAAGCATGAGTTCTCCCACAGGCATCTTTCCAGCACCCTATACAGGGGGCAGGGCTGCGCAGTGGTGGGACTTGTTCATAAAGTAAATAACAGAGAACAGAGCCGCACTGGAGGCTGAGTCCGGCTACTTCATTGCTACCGCCTGAAATAGGCTGAGTTGGGAGGAAGCACAGTTGGCCCTGAGCATTGTGCAGAACAGTTGTGGCTGTCCATTTTCCACGCAGAGGGAGATGTGGAAGCACCAGCAGGACCTGGCCCAGCCACTGCATGCACAGGACAGCACCAGCCACAGGCAGCAAGGACCCAGGAGGGCCAAGTGCAACCTGAAGCACAGCTGCTAGAGGGTGGCAGAGCCACAGGGGGAGCCACGCTGGTGGTAGCCGGGCCTGACGGCACCTGGTAGAAGCTACCTGGTGACACAGAACAGACTGCCACTAAGGAGCTGAAGGTGCAAGTTAGCCTGCATACTGTACTGCCAGGCTGGTGGCTGCCTGCCTGCAGTAGGTTCATGAGGTTTCATTGTCTGTGCTGCTGTGTAGCTGTGCAATCATGTTTATAGCTGTGTCTGCCTCATCTGCAGACAGATGTCTCGTTTGGTTTTGTTTTTTCTTGGTGCCGGGGATTGAACTCAGGACCTTGCACTTGCCAGGCAGTTGCTTGTGCCACTGAGCTAAACCCCCAGCCCAGATGTCTGGTTTTTTTAAGACAAAACCACCAGCCATTTTGCTCCCCCAAGTGGCTACTGGCTGGTGTTCTGAGGGTGGCAGGGAAGCAGGGGCAGTATGTACACTGGAAGGGTAGTGCCCCAAGCCAAGGTGGCAGAGAGGGGTTTGGGGAGGAAGTGGGGTAACTCCACAGTGCTGCTGTGTATTTCAGATCCACACAACCTGAAGATCTGCTGCCGCGTGAACGGGGAGGTGATGCAGAGCAGCAACACCAACCAGATGGTGTTCAAGACGGAGCAGCTCATTGCCTGGGTCTCCCGGTGAGAGGGCGGAGCCTGTGCCAAGCTGTGGCCCCCTGACCTGTCTTACCTGGCCCTTCTACTTTGCTCTAGGTTTGTCACTCTCTATCCAGGGGATGTCATCCTGACCGGGACACCGCCAGGTGTTGGGATGTTCAGGAAGCCAGCCATCTTTCTCAAGGTAGGTTAGCTGAAAGGAAGGGGCAAGGACAAGGACAGAGCTGGGTGGGCAAGCTTGTTGCAGAAATCTGCAGGCCTGTGTGTGCTGACCCCTCCTGCCTGCTATTGCAGAAGGGGGATGAAGTCCAGTGTGAGATTGAAGAACTAGGGGTCATTGTCAACAAAGTCGTGTGATGGCTCCCTCACAAGCCCAGGCTGGAGACAGGACAGCCACCTGCTGCCAGTGGGCCCAGTGCTAGCCCCTCTGCCCCTGGGCTGCTCTTCAAATAGGAGGGAAGAAGGTGGAACCCTCCACAATAAATTTGCCCAGGCAAAGTGGCAGCTTGGCTTCTGATGGTCTTTGAACTTCAGGGCTGGGGAAGGAAGGAGCAGCCAAAAAGGTACCATAGTGAAAGAAGTTTGTAGCTGGTCCTCTTGTTTATCACAACAAAGGACAGAGACTTTTTTTTTTAAATCAGTAGGCATTTTCTTCATTTAAATGAAACATCTGATGTGTATTTTACATACATACATCTGTACACACAACACAAGATTACAAAAATCTGTAGGTAATCAAGTCTCAAAATGCCTTAGTATTTGCATATAACCTATGTACATCCTCCCATTTACCTAGATTATTATTAATACCTAATATAAATGCTCTACAAATAGTTGTATTTTTTAGGGAATAATGACAAGAAAAAGTAAGAGCACAGACTTTATAGTCCAGTGAAGGTTGTGCGACCCTGTGGGCCAAGGAGGCTCAGATCAGGCTCTGCCTTAGCTACACACAAACTGTCGGATGAACTGTTCCAGCCTGTCCTGGCTCTCCTGGCTGGCAAATGCAGGGGACAGCATGAGCTGGGGGCCTGCAAGGCCAGATGTCTGCTGCAGCACCTGGTGGTGACACAGACTATGAGGCCCAAGCTCAGGCTGAGCCTGTCCCCTGAAGCCCTGCACTGGGACCTCCAGCCCCTCAGGCCTCAGTGTCTTGAGTGCAAATGCTGCAACTCAGGTCTCAAAGCACCCTGGCTTCCCACCTGGGTATAGGGAAGCAAATGGTTTAGGAGAGTGAGGGTAGGGAACCACCCAGGCCCCCACCACATACGTATTCCCCAGCAAATCCCATCTGAGTTATCTGGGCCAACTCCGTGGCCTGAGGACAGGAGCAGGGGGGAGGGAGACAGCAGTGCTGGCCCCTCTCACCCCCAGGTCTCTGAAGGTCCAGACAGCACTGATGGCGAGGCTTGGGTCCGCATACTCTGGAGGAAGAGAGATGAAGGCTGGGGCAGAGCAGGGAGCCACTGGACACAGCTCTTGTGTAAAGGAGGAAAGCAGAGGTGGGCTCTGTGCCTCTCCTTCCCAGGGTCAGGTTGCCACTGCCCAGCAGGGGGCAGCAGCCACCAGCAGAGCCTCCCACCTCCCAGAGCCTGGATGGGCTGCCTGAGACTCACCAAACAGCCCTTCTTCCTGGGCGCTGGCCTGCAGGAACTCGAGCAGCTGCTCCACATAGCCGGACTCTGCAGGAGAAGGAGATCTAGCCCAGGCCTGTGGGCAGAGCCCTGGGCACCACAGGGGAGGTGGGCCTCACCAGTGTCAGGCAGCCGTGCCTGGCGGAGAAAGGCAGCAGCTTGGGTAAAGGCCTTGAGCAGTGGCCTGAGCAGGCGACAGAGGAAGATGAGGAAGTCGGGGCAGCGTGACTGCTCACTGAGCTGGAGGGGGACAGGCACAGGCCAGGGTGAGGGCAGCACCCCTCTGCGTCCCTACCACCAGCCTCCTTCCCAGTTCCTCCCAACACACCCTGAAGCACCGGCCCTGAGCCTCCTCAAAGTGGTCACTGTCGCTGTCACTGAAGTCCCCACTCAGTTTCCACAGCAGCTTTGCACTCAAACGCTGTCGCCCTGTGTCACAGGCTGGCCGAGAGCTTGGGGCCTGGGGGCCACGGGGGCCATTGGTCCCTGGCAGGTGGGCCAGGGTCAACCCTTCGGCCCCCAGACCAGGTGCATGCAGGTGAAACCAGGAAAGCAGATCTGGGGAGCCAAGGAGGATGGCAGAACCGGACCAGGCCACAGCATGTGCTGGCCACATGCAGGGTGGGAGGAAGCCAGCACCCACCCACAGGGGCCACAGCTCTGTGGGCAGGAAATAAGGGCAGAAAGTGTGGCGGGAACCTTCCAGGTATGCATGTCTAGTCCCGTCGTGAGAGAAGGCCATCTTGAGAGGGCAGACGTGGTGGAGCCAGGCCTCCCTGTCCCCTGAGAGGACAGGGCAGCAATGGCAGAGGGACCTGGGGTCTCTGCCCTGCCTACCTCCTCAGCAACCAGGAGCCCGCACTGGATGAGCCGGTCCAGCACCTCCTGACAGTAGCAGTAGGAAGACTGGCAGGGCTGGGGAAGAAGGGCACCTGTGTGGACTCAGGAGACCAGGCAGAGGGTGGGCCAGGGTGGAGGGGGGTCCTCTAATGAGATAGGGGAGAAGTGCAGCAGGGTGGAGGGTGGGGATAAAGCAGAGGTGGGGTGGGGCTCAGGGCAGGCCTGACCTGCAACAGCAGCAGGTCCCTGGGTAGCAAGTGTAGCAGCAGCAGGACCTGGTGGTACAGTTCCCTCTGGCTCAGCAACTCTACTCCCTGCAGCTCCCAGGGCCCCTCACACGGCACCCTGCCTGCCACCAGTGCCTGCACAGCACATGCTGGTGGAGAAGGGGGAGTGAGGAAGGGCCACACCCTCTCCCCAAACACCTCCCAGCCCCTGAGCCCTGGGCACTCACCACCCACTGCCTCACTCAGGAAGGCAGGCAGCAGCTCAGCACTCAGGTGTGCTAGGTGTACAAGGCCTGGGCCGGGCCGTGGGACAACCAGCAGGTCCCCTTGCTGGACCCGCAGCAGGACCACATGTGCCCGCAGCAGGCTTAGTGTGTGTTGAACCAGGCTCCGCAGCTGCCCTGAAAAGCCCACGTCAAAGCCACGCAGCAGCGTCTCCTCCGTCAGCCAAGAGAACTCCCCCAGCAGCCGGGACAGGACCACACCCTAGGGGCAGAGCAGGCTGAGAGGGCAGCAAGGCTGTACCCTAGCCCCACCATGCTTCGACCTACCTTCCGGTGCTTGCACAACAACAGCGTCGCCATGATGGCCGTGCTCATCACTGCCGAGCTCACCACACTGGCTGGGGGTGGTGGACTGCTGGTCAGGTCCCAGCCCAGAGACCCAGTCCTGCCATCCTCTGCCAAGTCTCCATGACTCCCCCCCAACACTTCTATACTACCCTGCAGTCTCTGCCCCAAGGGAGGCACTTGGTATGCTTCCAGACACACCTGTGAAGGGGCCCCTCCATGCAGGCACCGGTTAGCCCCTGACTTGGCTATCCCCTCCCTGTTACCGCTAAGGGTGGGCTGAGGAGAGGGGGGAGCCCCATGTGGCTGGGGCCCCAGGCAGGTGACTGCAGCTGGGCCCGTGCCTACACAGCTTGTCCTCAGCACAGGGAGCCCTGTGTGCCCTTGGCTGCTCCCTCTGCTCCCGTCTGCCCTCCTCCTCGGGCATAGGGGAGGACTCCAGTGTGCCCGAGAGAAGGTGAGCTCCTCGGGATGCCCCTGGAGCATGGCCCTCACCATTCAGGACGTGGCGGCTTAGCCTCCTGACCAGGAGCCGGTCTTCCTCCCGAAGGGCCAGGAGCAGCCGGGGCACTGGGGTCCATTCCTGCTCCTTCTCAGTGTCTGGAACAGTGGTACTAGGGCAGACACATAGACCAGAGAATAAAGGGACCAAGCCTACGAACAGTTGTGGGGGCCTAGAGCCTTCCCTAAGGCACTGGTGTCCCCTGAGGCCAGCCCCCACCCAAGGCTCCTGGGACTCGCCCCTTTCTGGCCTGCCCCGAGTCCCACAGACTGGGCAAGGTGAGTCCCTCTGCTGTTCTGGCTGACACAGGCTCTATGGAAGGAGGGCCGCTGACTGCCGGGGGTGGGGGCCTTGGGAGCAGAAGGGCTGTCGCCTCGCCTACCACTGGCCCAGTACGATGGGCTGCAACAAGTGCTCCAGGGTCTGCCTGTCGCTCCAGCAGCTTCTGGCGTTGGTGATATATTCCTGGCCAGAACAAGAGCCTCAGTGGTCAGCGCTGGTCCCCCAGGACACCTACACATAGCCCACCCAAGGCCGATGAGCCCCAGGCCCTCCCAGCTGGCCTTGTACCTGCAGAGAGAAGGGCTGGGCAAGGTTCACTCGGACGCAGACCTTGTGGCTGCAGCCCCAGCATCTGCGCAGTCTCTGCAGGACAGCCAGCGCTCCAGTCCACAGCCCCAGGGGGGCCGAGGCCTGCCAGGAGGGAGAGGCTGAATCTGCAGCCCACAGGGGTGCTCATTTGGCCCAGGGCCTCCCACCCCAGCCTGCTCAGCTCTATCCCAGGCCCAACCTCATGCAGGACCCTGCCCACTCCAAGCTCATTTTCTCATCCACAAAACGAGAAATTCCTTCCTAGCTAAGGATGAAATGAGAGGCTGATGGTGGGGCCTTGGCAGCTATCATAGAGTAATGGCCGTAGGGAGAGCTCCTTGGCACACACGCCCCACTCCCTTCTTTAACCCCAGCCCTGAGGAGGACCCAGCACTGCCTCCTGCCTGGAGCCAGTATCCACCCACATGGGATCCCCAGGGCAGAAGGGCCTCACGTGGTGCATGTTGTATGGTGCATCTGGAACCAAGTCATAGGTGACGGCCACTGGCACCAGTGTAACATCTGGGACTATGCCTGCCTGCACCGCCTGTACCACCAGCCCCAGCCAGGCCTGGCCCAGGGCTGACAGCCGCGGCCCTGGGGCTCCAGGAGCATCCTCCAGGAAGATGAGCAGAGGCTGCCCACTGCCCAGCAGCTGCTCCACAGCCTGGATAGGAGGGCAGGTGTCAAGGCCAGAGCACAAACAGAACCCTGTTTCCTGACTTGGTCCTCCCTAGCCACAGGGACACTTACAGCACAGATGACAGCCCTTGCAAGGACCCCCTCAGAGCTGTCCAGGGAGAGGTTAGCCTCTGCAGGCAGGAAAAGCCCCCCAAGATTCCTCAGCAGAGCTCTGTGGGGTGGGGGGCAGAGTGTGGTGAGAGGCTGGGCTCTGGGCAAGGGAGAGGCTTGCACCCAGGGCTGGCCTGTGTAGCAGCAGCACCCCTGGAATGGGACCTGGGGTACACCCCTGCCCCAGCCTGGGACTTCTCCCAGTGCAGCCAAGGCCCAGGCTCTTACCTGAGAGCAGGAGAACAGGCACAAGGGTCCCACGCCACGCGGAGCACGCCCAGGCCCTGGGAGAGCAGCACGAAGGGCAGCAGGATCCCATCCAGGAGCGATTTATGAGTGGAGAGGAGGACAAGTGGCGAGCCCTGCTCCAGGAGACCAGAGGTGAGTGCCACACTGTCCCTGGCCTGAGCCCTGGGCAGCCCCAGGGGATGGGATGGGGACAGAGCTTAGAGTCCCATTTCCCAAAAGGAGAAAGTCTTCCAACAACTGTGACCATAATGAGCACTGACAAATGGCCTTGGGACCATGATGAGAAGACTTTACAAGAGGCCCAAGGGAGCAGGGCCATGAGATGAGAAGGTGCCCAAGCAGTGGATTTTCCCACCAGCTGACAGGGCCAGTGTAGACCCTGGGCCTGGCTCACCTCTGCTCCTGCCCTGCCACCCAGTGTGCCCGCTCACCGCCTCAGCAGCCTTGTGCACCATCTTCATCTGGCCTCTGTGGAGCTGCACATTCAGGAAGAGGCAGTTCAGGAGCCTCAGCAGCACCCAACTGAACAGCCTGGAAAGTGACACCAACTGTCAGGGGCCACTCGTGAGTCCCCATCTGATGGCTTCTACTTCTCCATGAGGCAGGAGATGGAGCATTCACTACAGCAGCGAATTTGAGGAGGTGTGGTCTGGATGGGAGCCTTGAACAGTGTCCTGTGCCATGAGAGCTGCCTGAGAAAGCAAGCGTCCTCCCCCAGTGGTGGCCTCTAGCCTGTCAGTCTGCCTAGGTGCCCAAGAAGGGGGCCAGGGTTGTGCCAATGACTTACTCTGAGAGCATAATGGTGATGAGCCTGGAATCTATGCCAGGCCAAGAGGAAGAAGTGGGTGTCCCTGACCCCAGCCACTCTTCTGAGCCCCAGCCCCTCTTCTGAGCCCCAGCCCACAGATACAACTGAGTCCTCGGTCAGCCAGTGGAAGTTTCCAAGTCCAAACCTCCTTATGGGCCACACTCATTTCTCCCCAAGCCTGTACTCCTGTGCATAGACCAGGCATGAGGTCAGAAGCAGGACTTCTTGTGACTTCTTCCTTTACCCTCTTTGACCCCAGCCCCACCACCCAGTCATCCGTGAGTCATGTTATCTCTTTCACCTCAGTCCACTTTTCCAGCCACGACCGTCCACCAGCGGCTCTCATCTGGACGAGCACAACACACTTGCAGATGCTCTTCTGGTCTCTACTCTGGACCCCATTCACTCCCCTATTAACGCCCCCTGCAGGTTTGTGCTGCCCTCAGAGATCCAGCCTGCACTTCCTGTATGGCCCTGCATGATTTCATCCCCTCTGCCTCTCAAATTTATCCCCAGTGGCACTCACCCTCACCTGCCAATTTCCAGCCACATCCACTTCTCCCTGCTCAGAGCCACGGCTCATGCTTGTCCCTCCCACAAGACTGTCCTGTCCCCTACTTCCACTCCTGTGCCCCCATGGTTGGCTCATTTTCCCCTCTGGCCTAGGGGGACCAGTATCCTCTTCTAACCTCAGGGTCCTCTCAGGCTCACCCCATCCCCGCCTTCTCTCAGCTGGGTCTCTCTTCACACCTCACTCCCTCCACAGTGCCTCACACCTGCCAGGCACTGCCCTGTGTGGGGGAAACCGTCCAGCTCCCCCAGAGGGTACCCAGCCAACACCTCTCCAGAGGGCAGAAGCCCCAGCCCAGGGACAGGTGGCTCTCAGCACAATTACCTGAGCAGGAAGGGGCGGGGTGGGGCCTGGATGTGGCCCAGGATGCGCCTCACCTCCCTCTGCACTAGGGCAGGCGGCTGGCCTTCCCCAGCCCCTCCCAGGACTCTCCCAGGGAGGAGGCTCTGTACCCTGTGCAGGGGGCAGGAGGAGGGGCTGGCTGAGCAGGCTGCAGGGCTCAGGGCACACTCACTCTGCATCTGCACCCGCAGTGAGGAGGGGCCCTGACCTCCAGCCCTCTCCACCCCTCTGGGGAGCCTCAAAGTGCAGCCAGCCCACATTCCTTCTCACCCAGTGCTCTCCATGATCTTCTGTGGGGCATCCCGGCAGGGGGGGATGCGCTGCTCCAGGGACCACAGGAAACAGCAGAGCCTACGAACCAGCCAGCCCCGAAACCTGGGCACAGCATGGTGGTGGTGGAGGGTGTCAGAGCGCTCTCCCCCAAGCCACAGAGGCCTCCTCAGGAGGGGGTCACACTCCAGAGCTGTACCCCCAGGACACCTGAGCTCAGTTTATCACACAGCAGGCAGAGGTGCCTGCCATCTCGGCCCCAGTCCCCAAGCCCCACTGAGTGGCACACTGGGTGGCGTGCACCTGCTCACAGAAGAAATGCAGAATGGTTCCAAGCCCACCTCTCCCCACAGGGGGATGGGGCACAGGAAGGGGACCCTTCTTTTCCCAGCATAGGAGGAAAATGGCACCACAAATGGCCCAGAAGCCTGCATCCCAAAGGCCCTGCCCACCCAGCCCTGCTACCTGGTATTCTCCTCCTTCACCAGGATCACATTGCAGAAGCCCAGGTCCATCAGGCTCCTGTGGAAGAAGGACTCCTGCCCAGGGGCAGGGACTATGTTCTGGGGAACCTGCACACTGGCCAAGTAAAGTCCCTGTAGCCTCTGTCCAATATCCCTTATGTCCACCAGGAGAAAGAAGCATAGCAGTTATCTCCCAAAAGGTGCCTGACCCAGGCCCTGATGCTGGCTCAGGAAAAAGGGTTCCATGTTCACAATGGAGCACTGCACCTACCAGGAATCGCTCTCCTGGAAAGCAGCACACAGACAGTCCCTGAGGACTCACAGCTTGGATCTCCACTGGAACCCCGGCCCTCAGCACCAGCACCCGCCATGGACACACATGCAGAGTGACACAGACACCAGCTCTCCAGCCACACCCATTCTCCTGAGACCCTTCTGAGCCTGCCCAGCCAACTCGCCAAGGCCTGGTAGCTGGCCTAGCAGCCCAATAACACACCCAACACCAGTCCTTCTACTCCCAGCAAAGACCAAAGCAGAGGCCAAGTGCAGGCAAGAAAAGACGTAAAGGAAGCAGATAAGGGCAGCCGTCTCATCACTTACCCAGCTTTTAGGGGTGCAGGTCTGGCAGCAGCGACCCACAAAGGGGCGATACTTGCCCAGAAATGGGGTGACGGCCTCCAGCTTCACACTAAAGCCTGAGGACCACAGGCTGGCCTGGAAAAGGGCCACAGGAACAGACTCAAGGTCCTTGGCAGAGGGAGGAGGGCACCAAGAGTGAGAGCCAAAGGAAGGGAGGTGGGAGGGCAGAGGGCATTCTGGGAATAGGCGCCACTACCTCTGGGCCACTGTGGCTGCTCCTTTGCTGAGTTTGGGATCCAGAATCCAGCATGGTGTTGAGGTGAGTCTCTAAGATCTGGGAACCAGGCACCTCTCCCTCCCCGCCACAGGAACCTAGCCTTGGGAAAGGGGAAAGGGTAGAGCCATAGGGAGTCTGAACCATAACCTGGGAGCTCTTGGGATGACCCATGGCCCCATCCCCAGGACAGATAGACAACACCCAGGCCCGTAGCAGTGACAGAGACATAGCAAGCCAGGAGCTGGCTCAGCTCAAAGCCCCAAGGAGCCAGCTGTCCTCAAGAGCCCTTTTGGTGCAGCAGGTCAGGGACTTTCTCACATCAACACAAGAGAGACTGGCTGTCCTACCAGCAACACCCACCCTGCCATCTTCCAGCACAGACTGGGGCTGTGATGGAGATGCAGACCCTTACTGTGTGAGAGAATGCATGGGCTGGACTGCAAAACAGCTGTGAGACTACCAGAGAGCAGCAGACTGTCACCAGGAGGCCACCAGGTCCTGCTCAGCTGCTCTTCCCAGAAGACAGCCCTTGGCCCATCCATCCTTTCTGGGGTGGGGGCCAGCACAGAGGAGACAGCCAGGGGTCAGAACACAGAGAAATGCCACACAGACCTGGTCACAAGGAATGCTCATCCAGCTTGGGACAGGGTAAGACAGCCACACTCAATCCTCTCGTGTGGCATTTTCCACAGAGGGTGCCACTTGGCATTGCCTCAGCTCCTCCTTCCTACCCCAACAGTTCCCACAAATCTTAAATATCTACCTTCTACGACTGAATCCCTTCTGGCCCAAATAAATAAGTCCTAAAGTCCCTTCTACCCTTTTTACCTCATCCCTGCCAGCAGGCTGGTCTAATTATTTATGTTTTCCTCATCCCGCTTTCTCCCTTCTTGCCAATCCCAGACTTCCCTGTGTTCATGATGCTTCTGGAACACCCTCTCCTTGGGTTCCCAGCCTAAGGTCTCTGAGTGAGCAGCCACATGAAGCCCCGGCCCAGGGCTCAGCTTTCCCTCCCCACATCATCCAAAGCTGTCCTAAGAGCAAGTGTGCAACATCTCTGTGCACTTGGCAGTCCACATGCACAGGAGGTGGTAGGAAGGGCTAGATGACTGTGACTTCCTCTCCAGGAAGTCAGGCTCTCCTTTTTGCTGTCCAGTTAGTTCAGTTCAGAACCATGAAGCCAAAGCCAGGCATGGTGGCACATACCTATAATCTCAGGACTCAGAAGGCTGAAGCAGAGGATTGCTCCAAGTTCGAGGCTAGTGCACAGTGAGTTCAAAGCCAGCCTCAACTACATGGTGAGACACTGTCTCAAAAAATGAAAACATCAACCAAACAAAAAAGAACCACAAAGCCAAGGAGTAATAGTATTATTCCTGCATGATCATTCTGTTTCAAAAATGTTCTCACAACCCCATTCAGAGACATTAGCACAGGAAAGTTCCAAGATCCCTGCACTCTGGGGATGCCTGCCCCTGCCTCAGGGTCAGAACACCACCATTCCCAAACCCTAACCCCAAGCGGTGCCAGCCCTAATAGGGCAGAGCAAAAGACAGGGAAGGGGTAACTTCCACCTGCCAATGAAGTTGACTACTGAGCTCACGTGGTCCAGGCAGAAAGTCCCCACATGGGGACCTCCATGGGTCTGCAGCTTCTACATAGAAGCCTCCCTCCACTAGGACACCTACCACAGATTTTGCAAACTGGCATCCCAAGGGCCAAATGCAGTTAGTGCACATACATACTTTTGACTACATCATGTGCTAAAGCCGTATGAATTAAGGCCAACGTTTAAAAAGTGGAGAGCTTGTTATATAATAATCAGACTGCCTGCCAGCTGCTGTTGTAAAAGTGATGTGAAATTTGAAGTCTCTGTGCGTACACCCCACAGGGCGTCAGCTGGGACCACCAGAAAGCCACGGCCCCTTCCGTTAGAATCTGGCTACAAATAAGTCCTTGTCCCACCTCTGGGACCCCCAGGTCTTGCGAATGACTTCAGGGGCCCCTACCTGGCCTGCAGGTCCTGCCCCCGGCCCGCCCCTGCCCCTATGCACATCTGAGCTCGCATTCTCAATCCAAGGATGAAATCGAAGCCGCTGACATCTGCAGTGTCCGTGCCAACAGGACTCATCCTTTAAGGCTCGCTTTGAGCTCCGGCCTCTGACCCCAGAAACCCCTGACCCACGGTGGAGGAACAAAGGGCGACTCCCGGGTGGCACGGCCCATCCCTCCTGGATGTGCCCCCCTCGGTCTGGGGTGACGCAGGCCGAGGAGGACACCAACCAGCACTCCCCTGTGCTCTCCCTGCAACAGGTCCCCTGAGGACTCCGCGAGACTGGCCTCGGGCCTGCGAGGCGGGAGCTCCATTCTGTCCACACAGACACCGGCCCCACCTGCACCCGAAAGTCCGCCAGGCCCAGTTCCCGACGCGGGAAGGTCTCTGAAGGACCCAGGGCCTGGTCCGACCCGGCCTGTCCTGGGAGGAGCGCTGGAAGATTAAACCTCGCGCCTACCTCCGACTCCCGCCAAAGCAGCAGCGGCGAGAGGCGGCCGGAAGACTATGCCGGGCAGCCTCAGTGCGCCGGCGTAAAACAGCCCTGGGAGCCAATTGGGATGTGCGCTGGGTCCGAAGCCCCGCCCTCCCGTAGTGCCTGAGCCTGCCAGCCCCTCTTGGTGAGGGACCTTCCTCTGGTGAGGCCTCTCTCCCTTCCTGCCTTGCCAGACAGGCCCGGAAGACCATGGAGGGACCTCTGAAGACTTCTGCGAGACCCGGGGCCCCCAAGGTGAGACAAAGACTCATTTGTAGCCAGATTCTAACGACAGAAATTCTCAGCCAGCTGTGGTGGTACATGCCTGTAATTCCAGCACTGTGGGAGGCGGAGGCAGAAGGATCACAAATTAGAGCCCAGCCGGTGCAATTTTTTGACCTAGCAAGACCGTGTGTAAAAATCATTTTTTAAAGGGATGGAGATGTAGCAGAATTGCAAGCCCTTGGGGGAGAGAGAGAGAGCGAGAGAGAAAGCCAGAGCCAGTTTTTGGCTCATGAAAAACAAGTCAGGCCTCCCCAGCGTCCGTTCCTCCTTTAATTACAACTCCGGAGCAGGTGCCTGGTGTCAGCTGAGCCTATGGCCACTGTGCTCTTCGCCAGGTTATTTGATTAATACTGGACTCCTGTGTCAGCCCCAAGCTCGATGTGAACGAAGACCTTACAGGTTCATTCATCTTTTGACTGTGCTCTCAGCACCCAGCAGGAGACCAGCTCGACCTGGCATGCAGTGTGGAATAAATGGCTCCCTCCGTGGGCCACCTGACAGGCCAGAGGATCTCATGGCTTTGGGACACTGTGACATCGTGAGAGCAAAGACAGATGTGAGCCTGCTGGCCCTGGATGACAAGAAGACCTGTGCACAGCCCTCTTTCTCTGCTGACTCAACACCCCGATGTGACTCGCTAGCTTTCCCCTCAGGATCCAGCCACCTCTCCCTTTCCTTGTGCCCATTTGTGTCTGCCCAGGCTGAGTTTCTGTCCACTCACTTGTGTCCAGCTTTATGATGTCTGCTAGTATTGCAGAACCCATTATGTGCCCTCTCCTACCTTTTTGTACCCAGGAACACAGGCCAAAAGAAGACTGAGGTTCTGAAGCTGAAAAGCGAAACCATGCTTTATTTATGTTGCCCACCCCTCTGTTCTGGGAATGCCCTCTGGGTGAGCAGCTGAGTCACTGACAGGTCCCTTTTGTGGTTAGGGAGCTCGGAGGCTGAGACACTGCAGACTGCAATGTCCTGTGGTTGTGACACACCAAGGTGTCATCTGGCAGAGTCCTGTCCTCTGATGTGTAGCTTATTTGAAAGAAATGTGTTTGGTGGTAGTGATGATGGTTTCCTGCAATTTGGATATTTAATAGAAGCTCTACCTTAAATCTGCACCTGAGTTGGGGCACTAAGGACCTGGTATGCCCTTCTCAAGCAGTTTGACTGTGACCAACATGGCCCTGGAAAGAAGAGAAACTCGTCTGGGCTCAGCCCCACCCAACCTGGACTGGACCTAAGGAGAGGGAGCCCTTCACAGAATTAGAATTCTAAGAGATTTCTGAGAAAGGAGATTTATGATCTAAAAGAGTGTTTTGAGACCTGGTGACCACAGTTCAGTAGAGTGAGCAGAGCATTGGACTTCTCGGGCTCTTTTTCTAATGGGACTCTTCCTTTCCACTGATTCCAACCCAAATACACTTACGGAAGAAGACAATGGTTTGGCTTATATAACTAGAAACTGTATGCATGTCAGCTTCAGGCATGGCTAGATCCAGGTGTTCAGACAATGGTATTGGTCCTTGGATTTTCTCTCCAGTGTCTGTACTGGTCATGTCTGCCTGGTTTTGCTCCTCCTAAAGGCTCTCCTATTTAAAAAATGACTGAAAAAAATAAAAATAAAAAAATGACTGATAGTAGCCCCAAAATTCACCCTACTATTAGCCGCATCATAGATAGAAATGTCTATCACCCAACATCCAAATGAAAACCCCAGAGAAGACTCTGATTGGTCTTACAAGGTCACCTGCTACCCTCTGGACCAATCATAGTGTCTAGAAAGTGTGTGTGGAGCCATTTTCTCTGGGCCAACACCTCTGCCCCCTTTCCTGTGTCCTGTATTCTGGTCCAGCAGGAATGGTGCATGGAGGGCTGGGTTCTCACAGGGAGGAGGCGCTCGCTGGCAAAACATGTTCACTCTGGAGTCTGGAGTTGGACTTCCCAGCAGTAGGCTGGGACTAATTGGCTGCTCACTGCTGCCTCCCAGGACACAGCCGAGAAGATGCTGTGCCGTGGCCTCTTGATAAATGTGAAGTAGAATGATTTCCTTCTCAATGGACCTCACTTGTCCACTTATTTTGAAGGAGTGACAGTCTGGCTGCTTACTTTATACGTCAAGCATGGCTTATTATGGTCATGGGGTAGATGGGTATGGTAATGGTCACCCAACCCTGCAAATGCACTTGCTCTCTTGAACTGCATCCTAACAGTGGTTAAGAAGGTCAGTTCTATCACATAAGTTCCGCCACAAGTTACCACCACCATTGGCAACAGATCACCTTGCACCCACATGGCAGCAGAATTCTCAGATGAGCCCCAATTGCAAGGCCTTATATAATCCCCTCCCGTTGGGTGGGGGGGGGGGCAGGATCTGCAACTTTGTTCTCAACAGAGGTAACAAAGGCCGAGGCCAGTCTCTGTGGAAAGACGGAAGGAATTTGCTGATGTAACTAAAGGCCTCAGTCAGTTGCATTTAAATTCATCAAAAGGAGATTATCCTGGTTGGGCCCACCCTAATCAGCTGAATCTGAAGAGGGTATCACAAGTTTGAGTAGCCTTTGCAACTTAGTGACTTAGCAATACCCTGTCTCAAAAAATAAAAGGCTGGGGATGTAGCTCAGTGCAAAAGCCCTAGTTTCAATCCACAGTACCACACCTGACACATTTCTGTAATCCCAGCTATTGGAGAGGCTGAGGCTTGAGAATGGCAAGTTCAAGGCCAGCCTGAGCTATTTAGCAAGACTCTGTCTCAATACAATATTTTTAAAAACCTGAGGCTGTAGTTCACTGGCAGGGTACTTGCCTAGCATGCACAGTGCCCTGGTTTTAATCCCTAATACTGAGGAAGAAAAAAAAAAAAGAGACTCTCTCTCCTGCTGATCTTGCAGAAGTGAGTCACCTTGGGTTCCACAGCCCCTCAGAATGGATTCCGCCAGTGCCCTGTGACCTCAGGAAGCAAATGGCTCCTTAGTGGTGTCTCCGTGAAGGCAGCACCTGGCCAGCACCCTGGTTGCAGAATGATCACATGATCCAGCTAAAGCTGAGCCTAGGTCCTGGGCCTCAGAAGGTGGAAGATATAAAGTGGATATTGTTTTAAGCCACTGAGTGTGCAGTAACTTGTTATATGGCTGTAGAGGACAAATGCAATCTACTAGACAGGCTAAGCAGAGCCAGCCGAGGGAAGCAAGCAGTGCTGGTGTGGAGTGGCGATGATGTGGCTTGGACAGGAGAGGTCTCTGGGTGGGGGTTTGAGCCGCAGTCCACAGCCCAATGTTCATTTCCGGTGTTGGTACAAATGACACTGACACACATGTATCAGCTGTCCACATCAGGAGGCTCTGTACAGGGTTCTTTGTGTGGCTCTTTGGCAGGGGAAGTTGTCAGAGGCAACCTAGGTATTCATCTCTGGGAGAAAGAAAGGCAAAAAGGGACCAGTTCCCACCTCAGGGAACTAGGCAGCAGTGAGGAGAAATTAAATGTCCGCAGTACAACATGAAAGGGCCTTAAAATGATCCTGAGCTTAAAAAGTAGGAAAACAAGAAGTCCTCTCTTTGTGAAGAGAGAATTCTATATTAGATGCTGAATGTCATGAGAAAGAAAAGCCATTAATCAGCTACAAACAAAAGTGGCAGTTTTAGGACAAGAAATTAAGGATAAAGACCAGCTTGTAAAAGTAGGAAACAACCAGGGGACCCAGTCATACCATTTGCAGAAATTAAACACACACTCACATACACAATGTCAAATCCCAGCATGGTGGAACACGCCTATAACCCTAGCTACTTGCTAGGCAAGAGCTCTACCAGTTTCATCCCCTGTCCCCACCTTTGAGCAAAGCTTATATTATTGACTCAACTGCCTCAGCAGTTCAGGGGTGGGTTTCAGGCTCAGTGGGTCAGGCTCAAATGCTGCCCTCTGGAAGTCCTGGATACTTTCCTGTCTGCCCTCCTCCATGGAGGTCTCATTTCCAGGCTGACCACCTTGAGGGGTAAATTCAGGACAAGGACTTCCCGGGAACAGAGCAGAGGTGTGAGGTGCCCCCAAAACCCCCGAGGCCTGTCCCAGAAGGAGCTGTACCCTGATGGCGAGACAGGGTCCCCTAAGCACCTGTGACAGCCAGCAGGTCTCCTCTAGGCATCTCTGGGCCTGGGGATGTCGACAGATTTTGCAGTTCATATGCTCCACTGGCGGCTCGCAGTAGGTGGCCCTGGGGGAGAGGCGACATTCAGGCCCCTGAGCGTTTCCTCCATGTGTCCCTAACACAGTGTCCCTTTCCCAGGGCTCAGAGCGGTGGGGTTGGAGATTTTGTTTTTCTGGTGCTGGAATCGAAGCTGAGTGTTTTAAACACTAAGGACTGCAGGGAGGGCGTAGTGGGGTCCCAGCCACCGAGAGAGCTAGTGTTTGCAGCAAATCTCTGTAATCAGTCAACTGGAAATGCCGCTGGCCCCATTCGTCCCACCCCAAGAGGCCCTCGGCCCCTGCCCGTGCCCACCGATCACCCCGCCACCCAGGCTCTGGTGGGGGTTGCAGGCTTTGTCTGGGAGCAGTGCTGCTGCGGGGTGCAGGGTCCAAGGCCCTGGACTGCTTCCCCCCCATCGCCCCCCGAAGCCCTGTGCCTTCCAGGCCCCGCCTCCCGCCCCCCAGGGCCTTGAACGCAGCCAGCCAGGGTCTCTCCAGGGCTGGGTTATGTAACAAGCAGCCGGCCAGCAAGGCTGAGCTCCGGCTGCTGTGAGCAAACACTGAGCATGCTGCCTTTCCTCAGCTGCCCTATGGTGGACTGTCCCCATTCCCCGGCGGGAAATCCACCAGAGTGGAAATAGAGGATGGGGTTACAATCAGATAGCTGCATTTGAAGGGGTTTAATCAACAAGGGAGATATGTCTCCTATGCCCAACAGCCAAAAGATAGGATGGCTAAAGGCCAAGATAAATCTTTCCTCCTTTAAATTGCCTATATTGGGCTGGGGATTTAGCTCAGTGGTTCAGGCGCCTGCCTCGAAAGCACAAGGTCCCGAGTTCGATCCCCAGTACCTAAATAAATAAATAAATAAATATAAATTGCCTATGTCAAATATTCTGTCCCAGTGATAAACAGTTGACTAATACATCAGGCAATGAGAAAGAAGAGGGCTCCACCAAGATTCTTCTACAGAAGATTTTCCTCTATATGGAAAGCTCTTTTCCCCTTTCTTTTCTCCATCCCTTTCCCTTCTTTCCAGTTTTGTTTTTCCTTTTCCTTCTTCCCAGTTTTGTTCACTATTAAGTGAGGATGTGATGTTTGGAGCTATGGCAGCGATTTTGCAACAATGAGGGAAACATCAAGGAACCCCCAGGCTTGTTAATCCCATGATTTTATTTCACTGGGCTGTGAGACAATCTGGGACCACAAAGGTGTTATGTAAGTAATGTAGACTGTTCAATTAAGCCCAAATTAGTGGAGTTACCAAATATACCCTGACACAGAGCTTAGTTTCTTCATCAGTAGAAGAATTGTTAAATACAAGTCATCCTATACATTTGTCACATTAGTATTAGAGATACCTTTTGTTTAGAAATAATTCCAAGAGCAGTTTTCATTTCACACTGAAAAGTTAGTTAGGTTTGCTTCATGCTCACAGGGGCATGTTTGTGTAAAATTGGATGAATGCTGGCAGCAAGATGCATTTTTTCTAAATAGGAATTTAAAATCCAAACTATAGCACCTTTCATCTAGGGTAGCAGGACCTCAGCAGGGTCCAGGATCAGGAAGAGTGGCTTATTCCCACCCCCTCCCTTTTTTTTTTTTTTTTTGAGACAGGGTCTCCTAATGTAGCCCAGGCTACCCTTGAACTTGCAGCCTCCGCCTCCCCAGTGCTGGGATTACAGGCATGCGCCACTATACCCAGACAGCTTCATTTGACTTCAGGTCATAGCAAGTCACTTCACACTTATCTATAGGGAAATTAAGGGTACAGAGGGATTTGTATGTTTCAGATCAATGAACAAGTGCAGAGTCAGACCTCAGGAAAGACTGGAGCCTTCAGAGCCCTCTGGCCATCCGGGCCTCTGTCGCTCTATCCACACTGCCTGCATCTTCCTGTCCTCTGTATCATCCACATTCCCATGAACAGTGGGTGCCAACACCTCTGAATTCCCATTTGAGGTTCCTAGGTGAGGGCATCTTGAGATCCAGCTCATTCCGTTTTTACCTCTTCACCAGGGATTCAGCCATCATTAGAGCAGAGGCTCACGGAAGCTGACCAGCACAGCCAAACCTCAGCTCTGGGCAGGGAGTGAGGCTGAGGCGGGATGGGCCTCTTTGGGAGCCAGGGCCAAGATGGGTGTTCTTTTGAGGACCCAAGGGAAGGGGTGCCTGGTTAAGGACTTCAGGTGATCAAATACTACTATACTTCTATAGCTTCACTCTGTGTCAAATCTTCATTTTGTAAATAGCAAAAAAACCAATAGGAATGGCTTGACCGATAAAGGGAATTTGTGGATTTACCTAACTGAAAAGTCAGAGTCAAAGAGGGACTCAGGTATGGTTTGATCTAGAGGTTTGAGACAATGCAATTGCTCTGCCATATTTTCTCTTCAAAGCAGTTTGGTTTCTGCTCTCTGCAAGTCATTCATTTCTGTCCCCTGCAGGACACT